CTGGAACATTAGCTTTGAAATTTCCTGCAGAATCAACTGTGTGCAAATCACTTTGTTCAACCAAACTTTTGACCTTTTCAAATACACATTGTGAAGTCCCAGGACGCTGAGTATTTCAGACTGCAGATTTAAAGCATGAAGATGTCCCTTCTGGCAAAAAAAAATGTTTTCTTTCATCTAAGATGCATATAGCAACTGTTCAGTTAGCCCACAGTGTCTTGGTTTTCAGTATGTCTTTAATTTTTCCCATTTATGAATGTCTTACATGAGAGTAGAAACCAGCTGGCTGGCTAAGTTGGATTCCACTAGAAGATTTTTCAAAGTGACTTTAAGACAGGTGTTTCCAGACAAAGTACCTTAACATATTTTTAAAAAAGTTGTTAGTGGAATCCAGTGGAATAAAAGCTAAGTGGAGAAAAATTAAGATAAACAACGGCATAATTTAAAAATAGTCAGAGAGGGCAGACAGGAACCACAAGAGACACGCTGATGCAGATCAGTGGTTTTCAGCCTGTAGCCTGCAGATCTCTCTAGTAGCTACTTCTGTGGGGTCAGTGAGAAGAGACTGGGGGAGTCATGCACATCTATGCTTGTAAAAGCAGGAGAGTGGTGGACTGGGGAGAAGAAACCTGGAAGAGTGATGTATGAGTTAAAAATGGCCATTTCATGCACTGGGAGAGCCACTGTGACACTGCTGAGCCTGAGCTGCTGAGCCCAGAGCTGTGCAGTGGTGGTAGTTTAAGGATTGGTGGATGACATGTTGTGCAAGTGAAGCTGTGCTGCCTGGGACTGAGATGCTGTATCAGGCTTTATGGTCTTCCTACACCTTTCCGAAAATGGTGTAGGGTTCTCTACCATTACTGTATGGTACCAGTGTGAGGATTGGAGGGGTTGCCATCTTGGTGATGCACTTGGAAAAGATTCAAACAATGGATGCACTGAGATGAGGCATTGAAGGGGGTGTGTTTGGTCCTGCTTCAAGGCTTCAGAATCAACAAGACTCTTTTATAACTAATGCCACTTTTGGGCAAGTTACACAAGACGTCTGTCACATGAGATGTCAGAAGATGTTCCCCTCCCCTCCTTGAATTAGTCCCCCTTTAACTTTTTATATCTTTTTCGCAATAGAAGAAATGTCTACGAGCACCTACTTTTGACAAATGTAACATAACTCATGCTGACATCCTCTCTTGTTGCTGTCAAAGTCTTTTGTGAAACTGAATCAAGGCTTTATAGGGAATTGAATAGCTTCCTGTGAAGATGGGAAAGAAGGAATCTCCCAGTATTTTAAATACGTGACAGAATGCACACTGGGTTCTTTGTATATTCAGGCTTTCATCTGCATCCTCATGAGTTGGAAAAAAAATATTTGCAAAGAGTTTTTAAGGTAAGTTCTGAACTGACATATTCTTTTGGTAATCAGAAATAAAACAAGTCTCCAGTGACACTTTTAGAAGATCTTTTGTGACACAGCCTGTTTCTAAATGTGTCTCATATAGACTTACAGCTGAATTGCTGCTGCTGCCACTCAGGCACATGGGTTTTCATTTTTTAAATATCTTATTGTTGCATGGGGGTGTTCAGATTGAATGCACTTCTCTGCACTCTAAAAGTAAATGCATTAGAACTAAAAGGTCTGTTGGCAAAATTTTTGTAATAGGCTGAGCAGCAAATTCTTTACCAAAGGTCAGAGATCCTGAAGTTGTCATGTCTGTAGAGGAAAGGTTGGTTCCTTTTTAAAATAGCATTCACTGCAGAAACTCTTGGTAGAGGCAGGTCTGCAGGAAAGCAGGGCTGTGTTTTGGGAGGCACTGGCAGAGTCTGCAGGCTGAGGCTCCACAGCTGAAGCAGTGCTGTTGCCAGTGCTAGTCAGGACTGGGTTTAAGCTCTACAGGGCTTGGAGTCTTGCTCAGACTTCAAATTGATCAATCAGAGCAAAAAATTCCCTCAGAAGACAAACAAGAGAGCAAAAAGTATTGGGAGCAATGAGAAAGGTCTCCATGTAAGCAGAAACAAACTTCTGAGTATATTTTTTTTGTCTGACCATGTGTAATAGATGACATAATGATTTGGTGGGATCCATGGCTCAGATCAATGTAGATATAGAACCTAATCATGTTCTCCTTGGCAATCTTCTGTAAAATTTACCTGTTCATCCCATATCTTGATGCTTTGGAGTTAAGAATTGATGAGTTCACGAGAAAAATCTGAAGGGAAAGTGGGGTGTGAGAGACAAATGAAAGGACATGTTCCCAGTTTCTCTTGGAGCACTGCTTCTCCTCACATATTTTTACCTAACTTCTGGATTCTTCCCGCTGCATATCATACAAAATATCAACCATGACATGAAAGACAGTTAATTGTCATCAAGCCATTTATTCAAAGTCATGCCTTGGTTTTGGTGGAGATGAGTGTTTGGTATCCCTCAGTACCATTGATGTACTCACTTCAAACATGTCATAGCAGCTTACCTATTCAAGAATCTATAAAACTTTTTTTGTGAATATTGGTGCCAAACCTGTGTTTGTTCTCGTAAAGAAATTGTATCTGGATTCAGGACACTTGCAGACCAACTTTTGTTTTTGAGGTTGACCAAAGTATGGAAGAGCTGATGGATTTTGTAAAAGCTTAATAGTGATTATTTAAAGCAGGAAAGGTTACTTAGTAAGGTTAATTCTGAATAAGAGCATGATCAGGTCTTACATTCTTAAGACTTATTTTTAGTATGACTATGACTGATGCTGAGTGAGTGTAGTGCACTACCAAGCTCCACAGATCCTTACCCTGGCATTTTTAGGACCTCTGGAGCTTTAGAAAATATTTTCTAATGTGGAGGGAAGTTTTCTGTGAGAAAGTGGAAAATAATGATTTTTTTTTCCTCTACCATCCTTTATTCAATTGTGTTTTGTTCTTTTTCCACTCGGAAATGTATATGTTTCTTTGAAGGGATGTGAATCCTGAGAAGAGCCATTTTAAAAAATGGTGTGTGTGATGTTTAGTAGCTACCACTGTTGGTATCTCTGGAAACCAAACTGGTGGTATAGAAGACTAAAAGTAGGCATCTAACTTGGCAGGTGCTTGGGAGTTGTGCTATTTATACATGACTTTCCTGTTTCCTCTATAACTTAATATACCTGACTGACAAACCCTTTATTGAGATTCTGCTGTAGCCTTCATCAGAGATTACAATGAATTTAATCCCAATATAAACTTAATTTTCAAGTTCTCTCAAAGTCTGAATTCCCATATTCATGTATTTTAGCCTAATAATTAGCCTAAAAGTACCTCACAGCATAAAACATGCATATAAATGACCGTTTATATCTCTCTTTTAATGTTTATGAATATGAATAATTTCACTTTTAGTTCACTTGTACTCTTTGCATGTCCAAATACTGCACAAGGAGGAAGTTTACTTGTGATTTTAAATAGTATTAATTTCCCTCTTCAAAATAGAATTAATATTGAAGTAAGAATCTCGGCCTCCAAAATCTTGACAGAAAAGAGATTCTATTTTTAGATTTGTAAATCCGCTCTATTTTTATATTCTTCTGTATCTTTTGAGAGAATCCATCCAGACAAGATTTGAAGTTGCAGTTACTCAATGATACTCAAATGTTTCACTTTCTTTAGTAAATTTATTTTTTATTTGTCACCTCAATTATTTGTTCTCAACTCAAGAGCTGTAACAGCTTCTCAGCAAATGTGAACTAATGGGAAGGTGCAAAGAGCTTTTAAAAATGCTATTAAAATATTTTTTTCATATTGCATTGTTTTTATATTAGAAATCAAAATCTTAGCCAACACCTTTTTTGTTGTTGTTGTTGTTGTTTTCTCCAAGAGACTCTTCTGAAATGAGAATGACCATTTCCCAGGCAGGTGAATGGTTACTTCCAGGCACCAGGTTAGCAGATACAGGCCAGACTTTGAAAAGGTTTCTTCTTAGGGGGAGGCTGACTGGAGTTTAGGCACAGTCTGAGCATCTACTTTGTCCTGAGGTAGAGAATGAAAAAGCTGACAGTGACTGATTTTTACAAGAATTCTTTAGCAGACCAAAAAATAGGGGGAAAAGAGAGAAGCATTAGAAAGAAAGGTAACTGTGATGTCTGCTAGTTTTAAGAAAGAGGAAAAACTGGTTCTTCAGAAAATTGGAGGTGACAGGCTCTGAATTTATTCTTGGTATTATCACAAAGAGCAGTGAGGGATCAGGGTCACAGTTCTTCCATGGCAGTTCTTTTATTTCTTAGTTTTTGCATTCGGTGTTTTTTACTGCAAATTTAAGACTAATGGATGTCTAGATCTACCAATTCCTGGTTACATTTCTAGACTTCTCATTTTGGTATTCCTTTCAACATTCAGTCTTCATTGTTACCTGATCTCCATTCACTCTATTTCCTTATTACCTGTGGTTCAAAAAAGCACCCGCTGTTGTGTATTTTATTTTTTCCCTACATTTTTTGTTTCTCCTCATTCTGTTTCTTAACACTATGTTGAGAACTTGGGTAAAAATTTAAATTTCAGTTCCATATTTTAGTGAACATTAGTGTAGTGCATTTTCTTCTGTTTCAATGTACAGGCCAGCTTTAGTAGGATAGAACAGCTTCACAAAAGTGTGCTTATTTCTGTCACTGTAAATGTTGACCTGTGACATTTGAAAGTGGTAACTCTGTTGTCTGGTAGAAAACAAATGAGGGAAGTTGGTTATAGCAACATCTACTCTTTGCTTTTAGTTTAAGTTGGCTTTTCAGTAAAAGGTGTTTATGTATAATTTGTCCTACAAACCCATATTTAGCAAGAGCAGAAGAAGGAGTAAAAACAGCGTTGTGTGCAATCTACAATTTGTGCCAACCTGTGCGGGTAAACAGTACTGTTTTTATGTAATCTACAGTTTAAGATAAGTTTAAGTTTGTATATATAATCTACAGCTTGTGTTAACCTTTATTATCATGCAGCTGTTTAGATTGTCTGTCCTGTGCTGACAGTGGTGATCCTTGTTACAGGCAGACGCGACGGAAGGCAGAAGCACCCGCGATCACTTATGCAACGTATCGAGGTTCTGCAAGGATCAGGCAGCTGCTGAGGAGTCAATCAGAAACTACTGGGAGAGGAGGAGAAAATCCTGAGAATAGAAATGTTTCAATGGTCAAAGAAAATGGAGAAATCCAAAGAACTCCCTCTCTGAAATCAGGAGGAGATGAGGGTGAAGATCACCAAGGTGATGCCGTATTAAATCCTTCTGCGGTTAGAGGGGGAAGCAAACAGTCTGGTAAAGCTCGGCATTGGTTGGGTAGAAGTAAACGTGAAGTAACTGCAAAGGCCACAACTTCATCCACTGAATCCTGTCATGAGCCAGACTTGAGACATGAACGTGCTTTAGCTGCAGCAAAAGTTAAAAGGACGTATTCACTAGATTCATTATTGTCATTTAGCAGTAGAAACGGTGAGATCCCGACCAGTTCCACTTCCCGGGTTACTCCTTCCCTCAAAGTGAGTTCTGCAAATGATTTGACTGGAAAAGAAGATGGACTGCCAGGAGAAGCAGAAGCTCTGTTTCAGACAAACAAAAATGACACTTTTAACTTTGATAAAGAAAACAATTGTAGTAAAGCAGCTAATAATAAGGAGTCCCCGAAAGAAATACAGGATGATTGTTTACATTCACCCAAGTCAATAAGTAAGACATTTAATGAAGAACTACAGGTGAGTAAGGGAGGATTTTGCTGTAATCATCAAATGGAGAATCACTCTGAGCAATTGCTGGGTGTCCAGGTGCTTCATTTCAGTACCACTACATTTCAGCAGGAAGCAGATCAGCAAACTGGTAGTGCAAACAAAGACAGTGATCCAAGCAGAAGTGATACACAGAAAATTGTGGCAACTGTAGAAAGAGAGCAAAATCCACAGGACTTTCCTGCTACTGTTCTTTTACCTTTTAATGAACAAATACCCCCTTCACTTAGCATGGAATCCAACGGAGAAAAGTGCATGGCCACGGGTGATCTAAGGACTTCAGTGTCATCTATTGGACATGATGAAGGCAGAGTCATGGGCAGGGAGACTTGTAAAGAACTGAGTGACTTAGGGAAACCAGTGTATGTACAAAATGGTCACAAGTTAATCCGTGTGGAGAATTCCAAGGATACTACCACACAGCACACTGGTTTACCTTGTCTAGAAACTGAGGGAGTGGAAACAATGAAGGTTTTGTCTGAGGTTGCAGTGGAAAAGGTTGCCAATGTATCACCATGCCTATGTGCGTGCCACAATGTGAAATCTGATTTGGATGAGATGACAGCACCCTGCTCTGTAACTTCCAAGTCTTCTGTTGAAACTGGAGGCTGTTGCTCAGCTCCCCTTCATCTGAGCTGCAAGTTCAAAAATAAAACTATGGGGAAAAAAGAAATCATCTTGAAAGATGCCGGAGAGACGCTTTCTTATCCTGGTCTTGAATATGAGAAGAGCAAATCCTTTGAGACTGTAGATATGAGTCTCTCAAAAAACTCTATTCCTCTTCACAACCATGGTCCTGTTGCTCTTGAAAGTGTTCGAGACACTCCTGCCAAGACAGTGACACTCGCAGAAGATAACACTGCACCTCACCCTTTAATCAATCATACTCCTGCTACTTCTAAAACCAATAAGACTGGTATGACTGGGGCTGATCTTATTACTTCTGGGTGTGAAGATTGCAACTCAGAACTTACAGCCCATATTTCTAAGTCAGAAGAAAAAAATCTAGCAGTTTCTCATTCTACCTTGAGACATGAAGGAAAACCTGTGACCAACCACTCTGCTTTCACCTGTGAAAAAGATGATGTAGGCATCACTTTTGAATCTCCACCTGTTCATGAAAATAGGTGTATTAATTTTTCTTCCAAGAAGGAAAACAGCAAGGAGCCTAGGATATCACCCACAGTACTTGATTCTTCATCTGACAACCAAGGAAAAATGCTGCCTTCTGCCACTAACTCTGAAAATGACCAGATTACTGCTTCTGAACAGGACAGCTTTATTTTTCCAGCTGCAGAGTCTAGGAGAATAATCCCTGAGGACAGAATGAACGAGGGGACACCTTGCTCAGGAGACTCGAGAGCTTTGTGCCCAGTTGGTTCTCTAGAATGTGAGATTATTCCACCTATGCTTGATAGCTCTGCTGATGGAGTAAATGTAGAGGGTGTTTGCATCCCCAGGCCCACTTCAGCTTCTCTGAGATCCAGAGAGGCCTCCAACCTTTCTGTTTCTGCCTTGAAGATGTCGGGTGTTGCTCAGGGGAACAGTAACTCTTCCAGTCACAGAGCTCATGATGGGGCAGAGGAGGCCTTCACACAACAGGCTGACAGTAGTGTGTTGGCAGAGGCAATGCCATCACCCATCCGTCCTTTGAAATCTTTGGAAACAGCATCCGAATCAGCCCATGCTGGGACTGTGTGCAGGAATGCTGTGGGACAGGTGATCCTTGGTGACTGGGCTTCTGCTTTCTCAGAAACCCCTCCTGTGACAGGTGGTCAAACAGATGCTGCACCTGCAGAGTCAGATGGGCTTTGTTCTGAGGGGCAGTGGGAAGATCCCAGTGTGAAGGGGCAAGAACAGGCTGCATTCCAAGATGCTGCTGTTTTGTTTAGGAAAGCTGAAGAAATTGTGGATTTGGTTTTACATTTGGCTACGGAGGAAATAATAGCAAAACAAGCCTTTGGTGTCTACCAGCCTTGTGGTAGCAAGGATAGTTTAGTAAACAGGGATATTCTAAGTTATCAGAATGCTGAAACTGTACAGCTGGAAGCAGAAGAAATCCAGTCAGCTGTGCAGTCATTAAAAGATTTTAATGAGAGCAGTGTAGGAGCCTCATCTTCATTTACAGGAAATGAAAGAGTGGATACAAATAATCAAGATGAAAAGATACTCTCTTGCATCCCTTATAAAATTGACCTACATAGTGCACTAGCATTAAAAGCAAAAGAAACAGTTGAGGAGGTCATTAACTCAGCCATACAAAAACTGGCATCCAGTCAGTGGCAAGGCACGGAGAGTAAAAGGCCTTCTGGAAAGGTTGAATCTAAACCTGAGGCTGAAATGCCAAAGACTTTAAATGTGGACACAAAGTTTCCTGCCAAAACACAGGAACCAAGAGAGGTGAAGGAAACTTGGGGTGTAACTGTAAACTGTGAAAAGGCAGATTGCTCAGGTCCTCCTTTCCTTCCGAATAGTGTGGCAAATGGCACAGATTGGCCCCAAAGAGATGAAAAGATACCAAATAATGCCATTACTCGTCAAGCAAATGGATTTCTTCCCACTGGCAGTTTAGCAAGACCAGAATCAGATACAGACACACAGTTCATTGTACCTGAATTGTCTGTTCCTGGAGAGAACAGTGAAGGGAAGCAGTGCTTCAGCACAGCCTTTGCCCAAAATAATGAGAATCTGAAGCAGGCAAAAACGAGTGATCAGGACATGGAGAGAAATGACCAGCGTGAAAAAACCAGTCTGGACTGCAGTGATGAAATGAAGGAACCAACAGAACTTTTGGCCTCTTCTCCACTAATTGAACAGTGGGAAAACAGTTCTTTTACTATCATTTTTGAAGGTGCTCTTCAGACTGAGAACAAATCCGTCTCAACTGATGATGTGCAGACCAGATCTCTCCCTTCTTCTGGTTTGCCCTCAGACAATGTGGATCATCTAACGTGCCAAAGGGCGAAGCATGAGCACGAGTCAGCCTGTCCCTGTGGGCAGGACAACAAGCTGAATGCAGCCACAGATGGCTGTGGCTCGGAGTCGTTCCTGAGTGTGGAGGCCAAGCGCTACAGGGTGTATCCTTTCTCCTTGTCTCCCATCTATGAAGACGACAGCTCCCAGGAGGACTTGCCTTCCACAGACGTGTCCCCGGAAAGCCGTCCTGGTGGAATATCCAAAGATAACACCGATCATGCTTCCGTGCTTTCCCTTCTCCAGTCAGTCTCTGAGCGCTTGCAGTTCACTACTCGGTTCAGTGAGGAAGAGGAGGAGGAGGAGGATGGAGTGGAGGAGGAAGAATCATCATATGAGGAAAATATACTTGATGCTGAGGGAGAAGAGGACTGTCTTTCCAGCCAGTGGAGAGAGAATTTAAAAACAACCCTTCAATCAAACGACCAGAATGGATCTTTGCTTCCTGAACAATCGTTTCTTCTTTCAAAAGAGCATCTTGACTCACAGGAGCAACCAGAACAGTTTCCAGATGTGGCTTCTCCCAGTCAAACACCTTGTAAATCAGTTCCAGAGAAAGCTGATGATGCTTTAACACATCCTCCTACAAGTGTGTACTACCAGTACTTGAAATCTGCCAGCAATTCTTCTTCTGAGAAGGGGACCAGGTTTGGAAGCATTCTCCAGGATATGCTGCAGCCAAAAGTTCACTGGTCTCAAGACAACACCGTGCCAAAACTGGGAGAATTGTCAGCGGTAAGATGTCACATCACATAAAATTTATAATCAAAATGATTAGCCCAGATTCAAAATTGCCCTATTCTCCTTGCTCCCTTTTAATTAAGATTAATTATTTTATCATAAAGGTAATCAAAAAGTAATTCTTTAGTCAAAAGTAATTAGGCTGTTTCATAGTTTTTAAAAAAAAAAGTCTTCTGATAATATAATTTTAAAAACATAGTGTTCTTGGTTCAGCACGCAGATGAAAGTGGCTTAATTGTAAAACAGAATATGTGAACAGAAAATATAACTGGAAAATATGCATAATAGCAACTTTCTGTAATAACATAATGCAGACTTGTCTATGTTAAGGGCATTTCAACCTGAAGATAATGAAACTGCCTTTTGTATGAAAATTGTTCTTTTATTTCTTTCACTTCTGAGATTGATAGAGCTGTCTTGTCCAAAAAAGATACAAATATCTGCTTCCTGGGCTGCTTGATTGTTTCATCACAGTGTCTTCTACAAATTATAGCTCAGTTAGCAAGTAAGTAATATAGCTGCTTCCATAGATTAAAATTTCTTTTTTGGTTTACTTAAAGTACTGGCAAATGAGAGTATGGAAACAGTTCTTCCAATACTTAGAATTTGACAGTGCCACATAGGCCAAATATGTAACTGAAGGAGTCTTTCCATAATGTTGGGGATACTTCAGTCTGTGTTAGAGCTGTCTTCTGGGTTTTTTCCACTGGTAAGAAATGCAGTTGATTGTGTGCTGAGAAAGAGTAATACATTTGTAAAGGTTATAATAGTAGTTTTTCCTTTCTAGCACATGTCACTTTCTGCTGATTGATTCTGTTTAAACTATTGACACCAGCTCTGAATGGCAGTGGAAAAGGTCTTGGTTGTTTCTGTTAGGGAGAGTTGTGTACTTGTGTAGGAATAGTGGACCCGGAATGATCTACCTGTGCTTTGTGTTGTAGGTGTTAATAGTTGTTTGCCATGTCCTTTTAATTTCAGAACCTCATTGACAGGGCAAGTCTCAAATACAATCCAAGACCAGGAAAGGTAAGCAGAATTTGCCATGTAAGTCAATATGATACATGGAATAATTTGTTATACCAAAGCTTTTGAATGGAAGGCATCTGAAGTTATTAGTCTAGTTTTATGTGTTTTTATGTATTACTTGCATATGTTTGGACATGCTAATAATGAGAATATATTATTAAAAATCCTGCCACTAGTCATTTTACTGTGTTCCTCAGCAGCTGTTGTTTTCATTCAGTAGAGTGTTTCATAAAAGAAGAAAATGTGTAGCCTTCCAGTTGAGTGGGCACAAATTGCAAGCAAAAAATAACCGTCTCTACTCTTATGTTGAAGTGGGCCCTCATTCATTGTATATTGTTTCAGATTGTTATTTATGATACTTATGGCAACAAAAGTAAACAAGAAGTTCATTCTGATGTGCCAGATACCTCATCGTGGAACTTTCCCATTGGAACATTACTTAGGATAATTAGAGGATGGTAAGAAATCCAGGTCATATTTAAATAGAGCCTTTCCTAAAGACTTGCATATGCATTTCTCTTGTATTTTTATTTCTTTCATTTATGGCACACATCCGATCTGCAAGAGCGTCTTTTTCTTTCTTTATAATTAGACTGATACCAATGAAAAAAAGCATGAAACAAGGCTTCAAATGCTGCAGTACAAAAAAAATAAAAAATATTGTTTCTCCTGGGAGCTAGCTTCAAACAGAAAGTTTCTAATAGAGCCACAAGTAAGTTTAGAGTTCTTGCCTGAAGTGCTGAGGCAGTGCAGCCATAATCATGACCAGAAGCATGTGTATGCCAAAGAAATTCTTTTTTTTTTTACAGCTCAGTTTCATTATACAGTAGCTGCTGCAAAAGGACCATAAAATAAGCATTCTCAGTGCTGGGTTGAATGTAACATTTAGAGGAATGTGGATATATATGAGTACCTTTAAATTTGCAAGTGTTTCTATATTTGCTTTGGGAAGCTGGGGCTGGGGCTGTGTCAGTGGTTGCAGTGAATGTTTCTGGCTGTCAGCCATGGTAACAATGCATGTCACATTTATGCAGTTTTGAGGCAGCCTTGTATGGGTTTGCATACATTGCTTTCACATCCTAAGAAATGCTGAATGCCATTAGTAGTGTGTTTCTGCCTTGCATAGTGCCTGCCTGAACATGACGTGTTTTGATGTGACAGTTAATATATTTGTTCTGGTAAAATAAGGCTGTTTATTCACATTGTGGCTTAGCTGTGTTTTTATACGGTTAATATTTTAAGTTATGTTATAGAACTCTGTGTTTTACTTTTCCACACTGAAGTGAATGTAACTGTTCAGGGACAGTTGCCTTGATTAGAAGAGCTTATTAGTGGACTTTTCATCAGATGTGCTCTGTAAGGACAGTCTCACCTAACAGCAGCAACTCAGTTCATGATATTGTTATTACAGTTGGATCTTTTATGAGAAACCAAAGTTCCAGGGTCGAAAATATGTCCTAGAAGAAGGAGAGGCTGTGCTGGATCACCTTTGGGATCTCCCAGGCGTGAAACATCATCGAAGAAACCTCACAGTTGGTTCAATCAAACATGTAACAAAGGTACAGACTTCCTTAATAATATGCTCACACACAGAATTGCTTTGTTGGGAATAGTGGTGTATTGCTAGCAGTGGACAATGTGTGTATAGTGTTTCTGACAATTCATATTTGCTATGAATCACTTTTTTCGCCTTCAAGATAGACTCTAGGGCTCATGCTGTGCTAAATTTCCCTTTCTTCCTGAGTTAGTGAGCAGATTGTTTGTGTTTCTTTACCACCACCTTCACGGGACACAGTGACTCCCCTCCTTTTAGATGTTTACCTGTCCAGTTATTCAAAATTAAATGAAATCATTTCAAAGATTTATCATAAGCTTAAGCTGGCTAATGTGTCTATGTGGCTTCTGTTTCACAAGTTAGGGGTTGGGTTTCTAATCCCATTTGTACATTGTAGCCTCCAGAAATTACTGTTGTTCCCTCTACAGCTTTGTGCTGTCTGTAGGGTTTCCACGTGGACAAGTGGTACACCTACAACATGTGGCTCTGCCTACAGCCAGAAGTTTAAAAGGCTTTCTGTTGAAAAGATAAGAATCAAATGTCTAAACCCAAAAATAATGTGCCCATTGTTATTCAGTGAATGAGGAATATATTTACCAGATCTTGTGACTTAAGAAGACTTAGTGCTCTCCTTGTTTAGTGTAACATTCCAGTTATTCACAGGGCAATGGCCCTTACTGTGAGTGAATTATCATTTGTATCACAATGTGAAAGGTTTTCAGTAAAGTGGTTTCTCTGTTCTCTGCTGGAATAGAGCTCATTTTAAAATTGATAACCTTTTTGTCATCAGTACAGGGGCATAATGTCATAACAATTAGAAATACTTTTTCCTTCTCTTCAAGCACTTAACAATAAATAAGCTCAAAAGAAGCTGGCTGAAGGCAGGAATAATGAAGTTAACATTTCTTTGAGCTAAACAGATTAAAAGCCTTTGACTAATATGTAATAGCAATATTGATCAGTGGAATTGCTGTGGAAGGCAACTAAATAAATAAAGGAATTCCACAGTAATGTGTAGAACTGTGGTGTGAATCCAAGGGAAGCCGGATGTGTTTTGGGCATGAAAGAAAACTCTTGAATAGCAAAGATACTGTGTTTAGCTTCATCATGCTTGATAAAAATCTTTGTAGCACAGCTAAATAGGTTTGACCTTTGTTCTTCTTCCAGTATATGGTTCATTTATATGGAACACAGATGGAAAGCTTTGTTACAGTGCACTAGTTCAGTAATCAACATTTTTCTTGTGTAACTTAAAGCTCTAGCAGGTATGGTTGGTTAGGAGGGCTTTTGCTGCTAATCCATGGAGCTAGAGGTGTGTGGAGCTCACTAAGTCAGGTTTTGTCTTCTAAACCTTGATTTGTGAAAGCATCCCTCTTTTTTAGGTTGTGGAAGTACTTTCAGAAGGTAGTTTACCAAAATGCTACCTTATTTTTATTTTTTTTTTTAAATATAGGCATTGCTTTTATTTGACAAGTGGCTGTTTCTTTTTCAGGCGGCTCGTGTGTGTGTGTGTGTGTGTGTGTGTGTGTGTGTGTGTGTGTGTGATCTGCAGGGTCACATGTTTTACTGTCATTCTCTTTGTCACAGGCTGGGTGGCTCAGTGCATTTTCTCCTGACTAGTTTGGCCACACTGGCTCTGTGTGCAGGTTTTCTGGCTTGTCTCCTAAATCGCAAGTGGCTTTTTATGGTGCTTCTTTAATGGCTGCTCAGATGCCTTGAGTTATCAGATGTGAACAATGGCTAAATATTTGAGAAGAAAATGGCTTGCCAAGAAGAGAAAAACAGACTTTTACTAAAGAAGCTGTAGGAGGTACATTTAATATTATTTTTAATTTTTTTTTTGCTAGCAGATTGGCTGAAAAACAGTCTGTCAGTGGCTTTGTGCCCTTGATTTGGCTTCAAGCCTCCACAAAAAAGCAAAGATTCTGTTAGCTTTGTGGTTAGTAACTGTGGATAAGCATTAGGTGTGTCCGTGTGTATTTAATTTCAAGGAACTTGTGGGGAGGAGGTTCCAAAGAAACAGATTGTGCAATCAGTAAAATGAAGACCCATCTGAAGTAATGTGGAGACTGAGTTCCACCAAGGAAGTCAGCATGAGCCTAGGCCAGCAAAGTCTGCCTGGACACACAGGTTCAATGCAGCTCCTGCAGCACAGTCTGTTTAGCAAAGTCAGTTCTCTGGCCCACTGCAAATGCAATTGGAGGGCTTTTTCCATCTGTTTCTGGAAGCCCAGAGAGGATAACTAAATGTTATTTTCCCAAAAACGAGCTAAGAAATGTTCTTGACCTTACCATTCTGGAATAATCTTGTCAACCGATGTTTTGCAAGATGACAGGAGATCTGAAACAGCAGTTTATAATCACTGTCTGCAAGATGGTTAGGCAGGGAATAACTGGATTCCTTATGGATTCTCCTTAAGCAAAGCTCTTTGTAATGGGTTTGTTCACAGTATTATATGTAGAGTGTGTCTTTCTTTCGTTCGTGTGGTTTGCTAGGTGAAAAGAAGTTAATAATTTAAGCAGGAACTACTTTAGTCAGATGCCGTAGGAAAACACCCAGTAGCTTCAGCTTGTCTCACTTTCTAGTTGGTATTTACAGGACAGTAATCATTAATTCCCTTAGTATTATTCTATTTTACTACCAGCTGTGTTGAATCCTGTAGTTTGGTTTGGTGGTGATGGGTGGTAGCAAGAGTGATACAAAGCTGGAGCACTGGGAGCAAGAATTATGAATGGGTAAAAAAGCCTGGAGGACCAACAGAGAGTAATATTTAACAAAAAAGAAATCTGCAGAAGCTGATGTGTCCTGAGGACAAACCATGTGTCAAAAGTAAGATGCGTGTCTAGACTGTATTAAAAAGCAATCATGTGAATATCAAAACTAAGTAAGCCTGGTTTTCAATAGACCCATCTCTCCTCCTTGTTGTGGTGTTTTTGCTTAAGGAGCCAGACTTTGGTCATTCTTCGTCCTGTTGTTGGCATAAAAAACTACACCAGTTAAACAGGCTATTTTGATCACTTTAGTCACCACAGCTTGGAGGTCCAAGGAGAGCAGCTCACAGTGCTGAATTTATTTGGGCCTGATGGTGCTGGTAGGGCTGGAACCCTGGATCCAGCCAAGACTGTCACTGCTGGCAGAGCTCTTGGTCAGACCAGAAAAATGTCAGAGACGCCACCAAAGAGTAACTTTTCCTGCTGAGGTCTTAAGGGTGCTCTTAACCCTGTTCAGAAGAAGCCTTCACCTTTCTGCTAAGGGCCATGTTGGTCTTTTGGAAGTGTCCTCTGTGAGCTAATGTGGGTATTCCCTCTACTTTTGTAAATACCTCAGCTCCTTAGGGACCATGAGGGACGCACAGGCACTCCAGGATGATTATGTGAAGGTAGGAGGAGAATACCACAGAATAAAGGAAGGCAGAGTGGGATGCCTGCAGGCTGTGAGCTACCTAAGCATTTGCGGGTTGTGTGTTATCATTGGAAATGAGCACAGCTACCTAATCTGGTTGCTGTGCTTTTTACTGTGTTTTTGCCCAATGTGTCAGTGGGATAGTGAGTTTTGGCTGCTTGTGATGGGGGTGGCAAGGCTATATGGGGGGCAGGTATAGCAGGGGAAAACTTTCCAGATTTGAATCTGGCCCGAAACATTGTGGTGGTAGTTTTGCATGATAATAGTTTTGCATGTGGGTATCTCATTCCAAAATCTTGACGCCTTGCAGATGAAAGGGCTTTGGACTGAAGGATCTAGTTTTCAATCTGAATGCTGTCATATTTGTGTGGTTTTCATTTTGTTTCTGAAGATGGTGGCTTTATTAGGAACGTTAAAGAAGCCTCTGAAAGTAATGATGCCTATTAAATGTGCTCAGGCAAATATGAACATGCTAAGGCAAATATTTACCCAGCTAAGGTTTGCATGCTTGAATTGTATAAACTAATGGCATAGTATTTGAGCATACATGTGCAAATACATAGTGTTCATCCCACACACTAATAATAGATGTTACCATTTTCTGCAGTCTGTGCATTAATATAGGGGAATTGAACTCATTATTTAGGGCAAAACACGTATTTGCGACTTTAAAAAATGTACTTAGAACATATGATGTGCTTCTTGCTCAAACATGTTACTACCTTTAAAAATAGATATTTGAATTGGTTTTGATGAAAACCTCAGTTTACTGTGTGAAAAACTCAGTATACACTTCATGAAAGAAGCTTCTGGACTTAATCTAGTACACACAAAAATACCATCACAGCGAATAGAGGGGTTTTTATGACTGTCAAAATCTGGCTGGAGAGAGATGGTGATAAATAGGAGAGATGTAATTATGAGTGCTTGTGCTTTACCTACCCTGCTACATTTGTCATCTCTTGAGCTGGAGCTTCAGGAGCTTCAGAGTCAGGAGAGCAGACTTGAAAAGAGAATACAGACTGGCTTTTTCCAGTCTTAAATGAAAAACAAAAACAAAAGCTTCCTACTGAATTAAAATTGAACATCCTCCATCTCATATTCTGTCTGAGCCTGCAGGCAGATACTTTATTTTGCTACTTGTCTCGTCTTGTAGGTACTTTGTTTCAGAATTTATCTGAAACCATTAAGAGTGTTCCTTGGGGAATTCTTATAGATGCAGCTTCTGATTTTCTGTATCAAGCTTTATTGTTGGATTCACAGATTTCAGCCTTATCACATATCAGATATTATTAGGAAAAACCCCACAAACTTCAGCTATTTCTCAAAAGGGATTTAGTAAGATGCATATACATGTGAAAACTGTGGGGAGATTATTTTTACTTTTTTTAAACTTGCCTTGCATTACACTTAGAATTGAGTTCCTTAGCACTTTGCCATAAAGTAGCATTGAAAGTCTTTTTTCCTAGTTTTTCTGGTTTTGCTCATCTGAAAAGAAAAATTCTGGTATTGCAGTTTTTGCTCTAAAAACAAATAGCATGCATTGTTTGCAGGGTACAATACAGAGGAAATGTTGATTGTGCATGAGGGAGAGTTGCCAAAATAGTATACTGTGTTCCTTCAGGTCTCATGAGGAAAGTGAAATAACATCCTGAAGTGCATCAATTATAATTGCCACACTTATTGCTGACAGTTAAAGAACTGCTGAAAAACACTAATAAAGAGGCAGTGGGATGTTACTCCATGAACATCCCACTCAAAACCTGTGTGAAAAAAGAGCTTTAAGAGCTTTTGTGCCCTGGTGCTGAGTTTCTCTGCAGGCTTTTGTGTTTTACAAGTTCCTTGTTGATTCGTTATGTATTTGAGTGCTGGGGAAGAAAGTATTGGCAATACATTTTATATAAATATTACTAAATGAGGATGGCTCAATAAAACCCCTGCAAATTCTAGAGAAGATCATGTATTCAACAAGTTATTCTCCAGTGTGGGATCTCTCAGTAGTAAACCTTCAGTATGGTAATAGAGGTTGTTGCTTTGTGTAACAGGAAAATTCTTAAAGTGTCTGTTAAAATTGATGGTTTTTAACAGTGATCTTTTCCTTTCTTTGTCTAAAATGCTGTAGATTTATTTAGCATGTCAGAAAATTGAACTCATTTGGCTTTATACCATGGTTGGATTCATTACAGAACTTAATTGTCATAGAGGGAGAGAGGTGGGAATGTAGTAGACATTTCTAGAAAGTTTTAGTTATGTGTGCATCATGTGTATCTTATATGTGTGTTATGGAAGCACTGTCTTTTTTTTTTTTTTTTAAAAAGTCAGTATTATAATACTGTCAGATCCTTTACTTGGAGAGTATTTAAACTGACCTTTTTGAAAGTAGCCTGACAGGAATAAATGCGTAGTTCTTCAAAAGTTACTGGGAGATGGAAATTTACTTCCCATAGCTTTTCTAAAAATTCCAGTCTCCATTTTTAAAAAAACTAAAACCCTTCCATCATATGAAGGCTGGAGTTATGTTAGAAGGGTGAGAAGACAGAGGGAAGAAAATAAGGAAGCATTCCCAGTTCTTCAGGGACAGACTGTGGATATCCACACAGCCTTACCCTTTGATTTGTTTCCACAGGATTGTGCTGTTCCAGAGGTGGAGTTCTGCCTGGCAGCTGGAATTACAGAGGGACTTCCTATCTGCATACAGGGTGCAATTCCCAATTTAGAAGAGCTGGATGTTGAGAAACACCCTTACGTAAGGATCAAGTCAGGAGTGTGAGTACTGAGCCTTTCTAAGGGCGTTTTGCCAGCAGGTAGAGGAGTAACATCATGGGATGAAAGTCAGTCAGAAGTCTGAACAATATTTAGGGGGTTTTTGCTACAAATCAGTTAACATACAGCAGATATTCCCAGCTCTGCACTTCAGCACTGTGCTCTATGGGCTCCTAGTAGTGGAACCAAATTTTTGAAGGCATTTTTCCTAGTTGCTGGCAGAAGTTGTCTGTAATTCAGTTTTTGAGTAGCTTTATAAATAGAAGCAACTCAGCTTTTGGTTCATTGGAGAATAGATACTGTCTCCCTAGTCACCCACCCTGTTATAACACTGTGGCTGAATACCAGAAAATGACTATTACATCACCCAAGCATTTCTCAAGCTGCAGCCATATCCTGACATTCTGGAGAGAGGTGATGCAATATGAAACAGGCCCCTTGGTAGCCCAGCACTTCCTGTATTGAGCAGAATAGGCTCTTTCCTGGGTAAGTGGCCAACACTTCACAGTTCCTGAAGTTTGGGAGTTCTGTGTCTCTTCTCATAAATCATTGCAGAATGACATTAGTTCTATTAAAAGTTTTGAGTTTGCCTTTCCACATGAGCCAAGTCGTCCTTCCCACAATCTTACAATATGTCTGTGAGGCTTGAGGTGGTGAAGGAATTAAAAACAGTCTTGTTTTAGTTCTGAGCAGACTTAGTATAACTTTTAACTGCTTATGATCTGTGTAGCTTTAAGAAAATCACTCTCATGTGGCTCAATGCCTCTTGCTCCATTCCTTATTTGGTCTCCTAAGCCTGTGTCAAACTTCTACATTCAGCTTTCTTTTCCATGTAAAACAGTCTGAAGGAGTCTCAGCATTTTTAATCTTCGTGTCAAAATTACAATAGCTTTACAAAGAAGTGATGTAAATCATCATAATTTAATTAATTCCAGTGAAAAAAATGAAGTGGTATTGATGTTAGAAGCCTTTTAGTTCATAAGGTGAAAATTCAATTCTCATCCTCAGTGCTGACTTTTTTTTGTATACTCATAATATACCAAAATGGCTTTTTGAAGTGAGTGAACAAATTGGTAATTTTCTTCTCTTTCATTTATATTTAGCTTGGACTGAGAGAAACTATCTGAGATTTTCTTAGCAGTGATGTTGCCAGTGTATTCAACTACAGCTTTGTTTTGATGTGCTGCCACTATCTAAAACAGTATCTAGCTCTTATGAGTACAAAAAGGAAAATAATTTTAGTAAAATCTTTGTCATCTAATTAATGAGATTAATGAGTCATTTATCCTGACTGTTATAGATGGCTTGCTTACTCAGACTTTAATTACAAGGGAGAGATGATGGTTTTGGAAGAATGCGATTCACCGTCCGAAATTCCGTCAGCAGATGTAAAATCCCTGCGTCCCTTAAAAATGGTGAGGACTTCACAAATTCCTGATAACTGTGTGCCTTCTTTTTCTTACTGTTGCTTCCCCAATGGTTTTGACCCAAATATAACTTGGGTTCTAATGTTCCTCTTTTCTGGGAATGGAAGACCAGAAAGGAGTGTAATATTCTTCTGACCACAGACTGCACAAAAATCTTGGGGGGTGCAGCTAATTTTTGTGTTAATAGACAACACGTAGATCTACATATGAAAGAATGTGAAGGGGTATAACACATAATTCTTCTGTATACATAGCAAGCCTACAGAGAGAGAGTTTAAAAGCCATAAAGAAATAAGACCTAATAATGGTCTCTGTAGTCCCTCAAGTGAGGTGTCTTATTCCCTCACAGAACATCATTCACTGAAATTTCCAGAGAAGATGAAAAGAGCAAATTTGTTGTATTTGCTCTTTGACCATGAATATGTCAGCTTTCTCTCTCTTCTGGTCTTTATAATTTCTAGGAGCTCTACAGTCTGTGCTTAAGAAAGTCATACAACAAAGCTTTAAAAGCTAATTTTAAAAATTGGACAATATAAATTAGTTTAAAAACACATGGTAAATTATTTCCCTTATATTGCTAATAGACAATGAAGGAATATTTTTTAATTGCTTTCAGCCTTACAGACTTATCAATGCACTGATTTGTTTGTAGGTCAGGTTTATAGTGTCTCTGCCCTTTTGAAATATCAAAGTATTTAAATTAGCGTTTTATATGGCCAGCACTGAAAATGGTGAATATAATTACATAGACTTCATGCTCTGGTAGTACTGTAAAATATGTGTCAAAGTGTAACTTCAATTTTAATATAAATACCTGTTTTCCTCCCCATCTTTTTTTAGGGTGGACTGAAGGTACAAATGCCAATGAATGTCAAGGTAAGCACTGAGGACACTGAGAATAAAGTACTAGCACATTTGAAATATAAAGCCTTTATTTAAGCTGTTTTCTTTTTCTTGGGTATATGACATTTGATTAAGTATTCAGTGTTGGCTGCTGAAGAAGAATTCACTAATGCTGTCAAAGTCAGTGTTTCATGAGTTGTAAAAGCAGTAGTAGTTCATTTTTCACATTAGCAGAATGTCAATTTGCTATAGAAGAATTTTAAAGCTTTTACAAAATAAAACCAGTTTTTTTGACTTGACACATTAGTTACTGTAATGGTTAAGGGATGAGGAGAGATTTTCCCATTTAACATACCAAGTTTAAAAATAAAGAAGGAGAAAGGGAGGAAGGGTGCAGGAATTCCTTCCTATGCCTTATCCCAGTACAAGAGTTGTGAGTGAGACCATGATCCTGCTGTGATCTGAGGAGCAGAAAGCTAATCCAGAGTTATTGTTCCTTTTCCCTCCTTTTTCTAGTTCTCCACAAAAATGCTAATGCCTTAGGTAACTTTTAATTATACAAATACATGCACAACTTAGGAGTTTTTTAAAATACTGCAACAAATATTAATACTGTTAATAGCTGATCTGTGTGATTGGGCAGATGAGGAACCTGAAGGGGGTCATTCAAATAACTTTAGCAAAGTACAGGCAAAGACCACTCGTTTACTTTTGAAGGGTTAAGCTCCATCTGTCTACCTGTGACCAGGTAGGATTCACTGCAGGCTAATATTCATTGCCCAGGCACAGGATTACAGGATATAAATCATAGTCGTGTAGCTGCAGAGTACATTTATGTGTATAGAGTTGTGTAAATAAGTATCTTACTGTCTGGAAATGTCTGCAAATAGCCTGACAAGCCCATGTAAACCCAAATAGGGCCTCCAGCTTTCAGAGCACCCAGGAATCAGAAGGGCTAAGGAATACAATCCTGAATTTTCTTTGTAGTGATGGAGGGGGGAAAATGGGTCTTCCACATACTGTAGCAGTACATAAACACAAACTTCAAATTACTATTCAGGGCATACTTAGGTCATTGTTCAACTTCATGTTTTCTAGATAATAATATATGAGAAAACCCACTTTGGAGGATGGTCCAAAGAGTTTTCAGAAAATGTCACTTCTGTCCCAGCACTGTTTGCTGGCGAAGAGGAGTTCTGGGAAATTGGATCAATACGTGTAATTGGTGGAGTGTAAGTATATTTCATTTCTATAATTATTTATTTTAAAGGAGGAAAGCATAACTAATTGCTTAGAAGTGCTAACTAAGTGGTGATGGGAATTTTTCACAGGTAAAACATTTTGAAAAAAAAGGAGTATATGTCTCTTGTCAAGCATCACTCTTGGGTGCAACTACCTCTACATATGGCTTATCTTTCTGAGGGAATGTTGGAAGATAAAGCTAAATGTGTGAGAGGTGTGGAGTCAGTGTTTACCATTTGGATGTCAATAAACTAGGCCACTTTGTTCCTTAATGAGAGCATTCACACAGAGCTTTATTCATATTGCTTTATACTTCTGATAATCTCTACTTAATTTGCTGAAATGACCTTGGATAGGTGTGGTTAGTTCTTCAGTTTGGCATTTTAATACCTCTGAAACGTATAAACTGTTTTATTGTCTTAATGGTTTTCCTCTGTCACCTGTTGCATGTTGTCTGGAATTAAGAATCTACTATTAATTTCCTTTATTGAGGCATTGGATTGATTTGTTGTAGCCCTGCCCCTCTCTGTGTCATATAACACAGGGCTGTGTAACACAGTCCTCAGGTGGGCTCTCACAAGGCAGACTCAGCACCAGCTATTCTAGAGAGCTGCCAACCCCTCATGTTGTTCTTCCAGCCTCTTCCAAGACCTTCTGCCAAAGACCTTGGTAATAACACAGTTTTTAGAAAATTTTGGGTTTGTTCCTTAGGGGATTTCCATGTTATTATTTCACCATAAAGATTGAATAACATACATCCTTTCAGGCTGTTGTCAGAATCTTATGAGCACTAAATTAAAAACAAACTTAATTGTTACTCCTCAAGTAATCTCTTCATAAATGCATTGTGTATTCACTATCTGGGAAGCCTCAAGTTATTAAAAATCATTGTTCTGTCTGTTGTGGCAGCTTTTATTTTTAGTACTGCGGTAACCTAAACAGCTGAATTAATGTAAACCAAATGGTACTAAAAGTAAAGCTATCCCTGCCTGCCAAGATTCAGTGCCAACAGAATTTGTACAGCAGCCCTAATACTTACAAGGGAGCTTTGATGAAAAAAAAAATGCTTACAAGAAAGAAGGAGGGGGAAGCACTTTTTCAAATTAAGCTCCATTAGAGATTTCGAAGTTGGTATGGAAATACCTTCTTTTAATTGAGCCTTATCTATTTCTTAAAAATACTTTAAAAAGTTTTGTTCATTTAGTGCTAAAAGATATTCCATATGCAGTATACTTTATATATTCAATTTGCTTGTCTATTTATATGTCTGTGGTTTTGGATTCGAGCAGGAAACAGTATAAGCAGGCAAAATTCTGTTCTGTCGAAATCTGTTAATTTTGCCATCAGCTCCAGCAAGGGTAGAAACTCATTGTTTATTAATCCACTGAAGATATCTACTGCTTGTTTCTTTTATCATTGACAATTGGTGGCTTGGAATGTTTTGGCAACTGGTTGCTTATTAGTCTCTGTAGTACCAAATATTGGGGTTGGGAATATGGCTGACTGAGAGGAGGCACATGGAGAAGTGTCACATGAATAAACTGTTGTTGGATAGAGAATCACATGGGGGGATTTTGATCCACAAAGAACACTTCATGGGTTGCTGGTTCGTGGTTTCAAACAAGCATTGCTTTGTTCATCAGCTGAGTTTGTGATACTCATTTTAGCGTTCCTGGGATGTTCTCTTCCCCTTTCATTTGTTCTGGAAAACGGTGTGTGCAGTTGTTTTGCTCTTACTGACTTCTCTTTCCCTTGTTGTGCCATAGGTGGGTTGCCTATGACAAGGAACGCTACAAAGGCCATCAGTACTTGCTGGAGGAGGGAGATTATGAAGACAGACACTCCTGGGGGGGAGCTGACAGTGCCCTGCTGTCTTTCCGGTTCCTCCAGGCTGTAAGTACTCCTATGCATTTCACACAAATTATGCACAGCTCTGTACATAAAGAGAAAGGTTATTCTTTGTGTAGGGCACAGCTGTCCTGGGCTTAGTCATTCCATCTTTTGCCCGTGTTCATTCTCATTCTTCTCCTGCTGGCTGAAATTTAGGCTGAACTGTGCATACGTTGCAAAGCAGAAGCAGGTTCTAAATAATCTTTGTGATGCTCGTACAAAAAAAGTATATCGTGCAGAATTCCTTGTCTACCTGCCAGATTTTCCAAGGGCCTCCCTTCTGCACTTCAAGCTATTTGAATCTAACAGAATTTTCTTAAAAGCATAACGTGCCTAAGTGTACAGTGTACTTCTTTATTAAAATAAAAATAGCTTTCAACACAGCAGCTGTTACAAGCCTTAAAACAGCATTACCCTCTGTCTCTGTGATTTTTCTGCCAGAAAATTTTGGCAGCAAAAATAATCATGGTAAAAAAAATCCCTGCTGCTAAAATGGGTTTAGTGGAGGCAAAGATGAAATAATAATAAAAACTATCTGTAAGAGTCCAGTATTGGAGGCAAAGACTTCTTAGTGATGGGGAAACATGGGATTAGAACTTCTTTGTCATTTCCTTTGGTTTGGGTTTTTTTGTTTGTTTGTTTGTTTGAGGGTTCGAAGATTTTTTTTTTATTATTATTATAATGGGAACTCTGTGAACTTTAAATACAGCTGCAAAGAGTGGCTCCTTTTGAAACTCAGATTGTTCACTCTGATTTACTCAGTTTTGTATACTCAGATTCCTCATCTCCTCATCTGAGGAGATGTGATATTCCTGAGCCAGGAATTTTGTGAAGATTGAAGATAGGCATTTAGAGCAAACTTGCTGTCTCAACAGTCATTACCTTTTTTTAAAAATAAAAAGTTTATGTGAACCCAAGAAGGGTATACTTAAATTCACAATTTTCAGCTTTGGTTTTTATGAAAGGCACCTAGCAAAAGCTGTGTTTATAATCAGAATCTATCATACAACTTAAAATAAAGATAGGAGAATAAACTGAATTGAAGAAAACTATACTTCTTTAAATAATTTATTTTCAGGTTTCTGAGAAAAAACCAGGCAGGAAATTTCTTCGGATTCTTAATTTTGAATATGCAGAATCCTGTTCAATTACTGACTAATCTTAGTTTCTCTCTATTTTTCAGCTATACATAGGACACTTGAGCAAGTTAAATTGATCTTTTTAGATCTTCGTCTTGGCAAAGGTCGTAAATATAAGCTTAAAATTATGTGTGTGGCCAGTAAGAGTGACTCTCCACATACATGGATGTATTTAATTTGACTCACACCTGGGAGAGTTGGCAAGACTCAACTCATAAACATTTTAAAAATGTGTATCATTCACAGTCATAAATCAACATATATCATTCAAACTGGCATATAAATATGTGTCAATATTTAATAAAATACAAGTGCAGGGAACAATTTTCCTCAAGTTGTAGCATAACTAAAGGCAATGAGCTGCTTGCCAATAAAATGACTAAGGGCACTGGCATTCTGTTGTTTGGCTTGACCAGCAGATTGCCTGCCTGCCTCCCTCCGATGTGCACCACACGTGTCAGTGTTCAGGCTTGCCATATGCTCCCCTTCCTGACTTTGTATATGATACTTAAGGTCAGGATTTTAAAAATATTTTAGTACTAAGCTCTTGTTTTCAAGGGGACCTGGGCAAAAATCCAAAGCTAGTTCTGTGTGCATAACAGCAAATGTACAAGATCTTCTCCATAACCTTGGAAATTCCCTCAGGAGAAGCAATGGGGGGTGTTCCTACATATCAGAACTTTATTGCCCTTCCCTAGAATTCTGGTTTAGTCAAATTGAATTTAAGATTCTCTCTAGAAGATTTAGGATTTTGTGAAATGACCATGCATTACTCATGGTCAGTTTAAGTAGGGAGTGGGGTTGGGCATTGACCCTGTTCTTATACACACCCACCACTGTCTCATGGAGGGCCAGTTCAGCCAGACTCGTATTTTTTTCTACTGGAGCATCACACCAGGTGACCTTGGCTGTGTTGGCTTTGAGGTCAGCCCAGACCTGAAAACAATTCAGCCTGGCTCACAGGGCCTGAAGCTGAAGCTAATGAGCCTCGTGTACCTGAGTCAGCTGCAGGCAGAGTCGGATCAAATGTCTTTGTGTCGTGCTCCCAGAGCGGGGAGTGTGGTCCAGAGGCACGTAAAGGCTCTTCAGAGAGCAGGGTACAGCATTCCTCATTAGCCTGTGTCAGTCCCAGCTCCCTCAATGGGGTTTAGTGCTCTGCAAAGCTATTCAGATATTCCTGCACCACGACACTCGACATGACAGGTTCCACCAGAGCCTGTTAGCACCAGGAAAATCCAGCCCCTGTTTCTGTACACATGGCAGTGGCTGCAGTCGAGCTGAGGCAGGAATTTCATTTCCTGACAAATCTGGAAGGTTAGGCACTGCACACAAACAAGGGGTTGCTGCACATCACCCCTCCTCACCCACTGGTGAAGATGGTCACAGGCACACTGCAAGAGCTTCCAGGTTTTAGCTGTCTTACGTATTTCAAGAGCTAATGTGGGGATTTGGGGAGTGTTTTGAAAGCAGAGACAGAAAGATCTTGTGGGATTGTTTTTTTCCAGCTACTGCCAAGCTCCATTATCAGCATCTATATTGAACACACCACAGTCAAATACAGAGCCTGTTCCTGAGGGCAGGCAGCAGTTTGCACTTCATGCTGGTTTGGGGGGCAGTTGCATTTACTTCTTTTCTTCAGTGTCAAGTGAATGTGTGAAGCTGGGATTTTGCCCATGGCTGAGTGAAAGAGCAAAGTTTCTGAGTCTTTTTCAGAGTATGTTGACTTTGGAGCTTCCCCACTGATGTTTTCAAGTCTGCAATGATTTGCCTTGCTCTGAAAGTCTTTTCTTATAGAAGTATTTCTCCTATCGCTTATTGTAAGAGAAACTATAGTGGAAGTTTAGGCAGGAAAGAATGATGACTGAATTTGAAACATGTTTTAAATGTAATTTGACTTGTGAATATATTTCAGTATTTTAAATGTAGTCAAAGAAATTCTGTGTAGATTTGATCTAAATGACTTTTCAGGTACTTTTATAAAGTTTTTGCTTTAGGACTGTTAAGAGTAGCTGTTTTTCATTTGCACCAATACTGCACTGGTTTGATTGGTTGTTTGTTTTCCAGAAAAGTAGTCTGAAGCTGCAGTTGTTCATGATGATTTTGTCAGACCTGGTACTTTAATTTCTAGTGTATACCTGAAATAGTTGCAACTGTTTAAATAAATTAAAGAAGGAGGTGGTCAACTTAGTAAGAAAACCAGTTTTACTACATAATTTGTTCCATCACCTAGTGTCCTGTAAACAATGCAGAGAGCTGGAGTTACATCAAGTGTTTGTTCTAAAGTTAGTTTTCATAATTCCTTGTGATTGTATCCTGTACAAAGATGTGGTGTCCTTTAAAGAGCCCAACCAAAGGAATCTGGCTGCATGCTTGGTCTGGCCTTAATTTCTAAGTGGGTTTTGACAGTTATAAGTCTTTATTTTCTCAGTGTAGCCTTCAGCATATTGCTCTCTGGTTGGTAACGTTGAAGTGCTACAGCAGCAAGTATTTAGTGTAATAATTCCTATGGTGTCCTCATATGTTTGTGGATCTCTGTCAGCCACATTGTTTGCTTGATAGCCTTTGTTTCTTGTTTGAAAGACTTAGCTTCAACTTATTATAACATTGCTGAATGTTTGAGAAACACTGAAATTCAGTTCATGGTTTATGTTAAAAGTTAAAGGAATAAAGTGAATGGATTGTTGTTTTCTGTTTTCCCAAGCAGTGACTGAACTGCATGCTTAGAATTGCTAAGTGGTTAAAAAGTTGAAGATTTGAAACCCAAATTCAAATAATCTGAAGCTGTGCAAGTAATGTGGTCAGGGAGCTAAGCCAGCTGATAGCAGAGAGCAGTGTCACACAGCTATGTAAGAGGGAACATGACAGAGTTAAGCAGGATTTATTAATAGCTGTAGTGATTAGTCATGCCGCGGATGTATCCAAAAAGTACAAATCCCTTGTGCTGGAAAGGTGATCTTGCCCAGTCTTTTCCTCTCCATGGTTATTGCCATGTTGCTGGGAAGGGATGAGGAAGGAGAACTTGAAGTAAAAAGCTGTAGTAGTGATAATACTTGGAATAGTCATTTTTGAAGTTGTTGGAAGATCCACGACTCTTCTCTTGCCCACATGGGCATCTTTGCGCTCTCAGTCATCCTCAGAGAGGAAAGGATGGTGCTGAGGGGCAGCAGGTTCTTTATCTCTTCAATGGGAACCACTGAAGGCCATATCAGATTGCCAGGCTGCCAGTTTTTACAGAACTTCGATGCCAAAATATCCCCTAAAGATCCACAGAAGGGATCCAAGTCCCTTCACTGCTTTATGAAACGCTGTCTTTCCAGCTGTAACTCTTTTCCAAAATGTTTTTTGTTCTGAAGTGTTGCTGAGCTGTGACAGCCTGTCTTCTAACCCTGTGCTGCCTCTTAGGATTTCATAGAGTCATCAGTGGCACTTTTTCAGTCTGATGATGAAGATGGGAAAGCATTAGACATCACCAATGAAGAAATCCCGGATTTGGAGAAGGCTGGATTTGGCCCAGAGACGAGATCTATTCTTGTTAGGAGTGGAGTGTAAGTCTACTGAAATACATGGAGGGAACTCTTCAGTATCTTTGTGCATGTTTGGGGGCATCTTTTGACAGAATGTGTTTCACATGCTACAGGTGGTAAACATTTGGAGGAGAAAAATGTTTCTTTATGTTTCCTTGGTGAATGGAAGGGGGAAAAAAATAACTTTAGTTTTCTGTAGCTCTCATGCTTGTACCTTGATTTGGATCTGGACATTCTTGTTACTAGACAAAGCTTGTGATGTTCCTCCAGAGGTGTCACTGTAGTTTCATTATAAAGGAGCTTTGGGAGTAAAACAGAAAAGAGATTTTAGGTATGTTAAGGTTTTGGAACAGGTGGAGCCTGTATAGAAAGGATAAGATGTGCTGTATTTGTAAGAAAGTCAGACTGCTGGCACTGAATGTTTTAATTTTATAGAACTATTTTAACTAAAAGGAGGGGTTAAACCAAGGGGTGTGGAAGAGTAGCTGGCTCAAGCTGGTACAGTCTACAGGGTGGACCTGGCTAACATTTGGTGTGCATATGTGAAGTTCAGAAGGAAAATAAACAAGGAAACAAAGAAAATAAGTAAGAAAGGTAAATTAGACCACCTGCAGTGTCTGTTGACAGACAGACATATGTGGTATTAACTGATGGAGCAAGGACAAAACTCTAAAGTGCCAAAAGCCTAAAAATTAGTGTGAGGGAGCTAGAATGCTTGGCATGAAATAACAACTCTGATCCAGCAGATACTGCAGAGACTGACAGGAAGGATAAGCAGGGGAGTCACCCACTCCATGGGAATGATGGAGTAGGCTATTACATGGAAGGCAGGGGTACTGTGCATGAAAAATAATATCAAATGCTAAAACATAAAAGATTTATGGGAAAATAGCACTATGGAATCGTGGGTTGAAATTCCAGACTTTTAATAGTAATTTTAAAAGTACAATATTAACATTGTCATGCCTACCCTAATGGTGATGGTGATAGGGATCAGCAGCTGTTAAGTGAGACTAAGAAGGCTTCAAATTTAGGATGGGTAGCAATAGGGGGACTTGGAACTGCTCACACAGGGGCTGATAATTAGTGTCTCACGAGGATAAAATACCAGAATGAAAGGCTGCGACTCAATTTGGAGAGGAGGGATACAAATGAGAACTGCAAAATCCTGAGGATTGTAAGACAGGTTCAACGCAGTAGCATTCCCAGAGTCTTGCATGACAACAGTTGAAGGGATGCTTTACAGAACTATGTGATACTGAATATTCAGTTGAGAGAGATTTGAAAACTTGTCAACTAAATTTCTTTCCTTTGTGTTTCTTGTTTCTGAGAAAAGCATCATCTCATGTTGAGTGTATATTTGATGGAAAGGCAGAGACCCAGAGTTGTGTGTTTGTCAAACACTGTTTGCAAATTAAGAGCAGAAAATCAAAGGTGTAACAGTTTTGTCTCCTCAGGTTTAATGTTGCACTGTCTGTCAGATGGGCTTTTTGTTGCGTTTAACTTGCTAGCATTGTCATCAGACTGCACAGAAAAATGTGATGGTTTTGGTTTAATTTTTGTGTCATTCTCCAGGTGGGTGGCATATAAGCAGAAATATTTCTGTGGAGAACAATATGTATTGGAGAAAGGAAAATACAAATGCTTCCTTGACTGGGGAGGATCCAATAAAATCATCATGTCAATTCGACCTGTGAAGTTGGTGAGTTACCAGAACTTGTTAAGGGGGAAACTTGAAAGAAATGAGGCCTTTGGAGTCCAGAACATTTCATATAATTAAACAGGACAGCCCACATTATAACAACTTGTCTGTTTATTTGGAAACAACTTAAAGACCCTTCTAAATGACATCATGAGTCTGTTCAGACTTAAGTGGACACTGTGGATCTTTCTGTATCTTGAGAAAATTATCAGGGAAACCTCAAAAGAAGAACTTCCCTTTGGCAGACTGCATAAAGGGAAAGAATAACCTGGCCTGGAAAGATTAATTTGCTTTAAAACATAGTAATTTATAATACCTAATCAATAATGGATATAAAAATACTTGAGAATTTATCTGACTTATGTTGTTGTTGTGTAATAGAAGTCTGATTTTTTTATTATTATTATTTTTATACTGAAATATTTGTAATACACACAGTGAATAAAGACAGGAAATATTTTTAATCCATTATTCAATCCAAGGTAATGTAACTTGCCCAAGCAGATTAGTACCAGAACTGTCAAAACCCAAATGCAAAGCAAAGACAATCCTCAGTAATAAGTATTAAATAATAATAAGCAATAAATAAATAATAAGTATTAAATTATACTAATGGACTGAAAATAGGAAAGGAACATTTAACCTTATTTTGAAGATCACGTGTTTAAAGAGCTGTTGCAGTCATCTGTTGTTTTTAATTCTGCATCTTTTCAAGAAACAGCCTCAAAAACAAGTACAGAGACATTTGCATGGACTCTAATCCACATTATACGAACTAATTAATGCTGATGCAACTTCTCTGTGTGAAAGGCACTGAACAGTCAGGCAGGTAATCATGAGCTTACAGGCAGCTGATGGCAAAAATGGGGAAGAGAATTGTGCCAAGAGCCTGGGAAGTGTGTTTTTTCTCTGCTCTTGGGTTCATAATTAACAAATTTCAGGAGCTTGACATGTCTCCTAGGAAATTAATTGTAATTGATTTGGGGGGTTTTTAACATATGTGTATGTATTTCTTGTTGCAGGAACCACTTGGAATGAATGAGCCTCCACATTTGGTATGTTGACATTATATTACTGTCTTTAGTCCTAAGCTACATTTAATAATTAAATACAGGCAATGTTGAATGTCTTGCTTCAGATGATCCCTCAGTTACTTCAAATGATACCTCAGTGTTATCATTTCATACAGCAGATCACTGATGGATGAACCCGGTAGATGTAGAAAGGTTAAGTTTGCTGATGTTCTGCTCTTTGCTTTATTCCAGATCGTACCCTTTAGTATTCTGTCCTCAAAAATGCAAGCAGCCCAATAGGTTTTGACTGACTTTGGGTCTCTGTAGCTTTTTATTTTCCTCTTCTTCCCTTCCTGTTCCTGGAAAGTCTCCCTCACATTCACTCGTCCTTCTCTTGGTGGCAGATTTTCGTTCCGTTCTTTTGCGCTGTATCTGGTTTGTCACTGCTGTGTTCACGGATGAGGTGAGGATGAAAATATAAACTGCAGAAAATTGAATTGCGCTTTCCAAACCTGCAGATGCATCAACAGAATGGGTTTTTTTAGTCTTGAATGCTGGTAGCTCTGCTTTTCATAGTCTCTTTAAGGAGCAAGGTAACCCCATGGTTACCTTTTCCTCACAGTAATATTAAGACCTTAACTGAACACATCCTGGTTATAATAAATCTGTGCTAAATCTCTTCTATGATACATTCTGACAGTTTCCCTGAAAGTTGTGTCTGACTTGGTGATAACTTAAAATGAGAAAGTGGTCCCTATAACTCACTGTTAGTCTCAAGAATGAGTTAGTTTGGGGTTTTACACTTTCGGTCCTTATCTTTTGAGGTTACATTCCATTAATGGACCTTTGTGTTATCTTTCTAAAAACAAAATCCTACTCTGTGCTCGTCACCACACATGGTCTGTGACCCCTGCAATGTTCTGTCCCAACAGGGCTCTCCTCCCTTCCAGCATTAGTTTTTTGATTTGTCTTTTTGTGTCCTGGAGTGCACTGCTGGTGTGGGTGATGATGGGAGGGGCTGCATTGCTCTCTCTGTGACATGCTTTTAATTAAGCAAATTTGGAAAAGTTTATTTCAAGAAACATGACATTATTTTTCAGACAAAAGAGACTTTAAAGTTTGCTGAAACAGAACTGTTAAGCTCTAAGTATTTTGTCATCTGGACACAATTTTGCTCTTTCTTCCTTGGATGGGAAATAACATACACTGTGTTGTTTAGCAGGTGGACCACACCCTCCTTTTTCCCAAAGTATCCTAGTTCTATGATTTTATGATTAACCCAGGACTACAGGAAGTGTTTCCTGTCTGAAGACATAATTGGTGCATTATTTTAGTCTTAAACACTGACTTCCTGCCAGACCTATTCACATGGCAGTTTGCAGCCAAATCCAAAGACTTACAAGAATATATTCACAGTAAGGCCTTGGTAAATGCTACCAGATAAAATAACCACCTCAAATCAAACCAGAGGGGTCCAAACAGTTAAAGACAATTTTCTTTCCATCTTCAATTCTTCTATTTTTTCAGGATCTCCCAAAAACTGTTGTTTGAGTGCATTACTTCAGTCTACAGACCTTTAAGATCAATTCAAACCTTTGAAGTTTCAATAAATTGTGCTTTATAGTCTTTTTATTTCCCAGAAACATGAAGAAAACTGTGTGTATGTATATACACACACAGTCACCTTTAAATACTGACCTGTACTGGATTGTGGTTTGCCTCTTGTGTTCTCTAATAACAGTCCTAACACCATTTGTAAAAAAATTACTATTGTGATTTATCACAATCCTGGTTCTTGTAGGATTCCACTCCAAAGCTAAGGAAGGAAGAACATCATTCATATCCCTACAGCTCTTATAGGAGGGGAAATAATTTGAGTAAGTTTTTATGGGAAAACATTTAAGCACTTATGATAAGTAAAGGACAGTCTTTTGGATAAATATGAAGAATTTCCTATTCAGAGTAAAATAAAAGCTTTCATCTGTCCAGCAGTCTTTTGGTTTGGAACTTCAAAGCATGGTGCATAGGAGCTGGCAGGTCCTTAAACATCCTGATGTTTGAGCCTTGTATAAGCCATATATTGGTTATTTTGAATGATGATACATTCTCCCACTTTTAATAAGCGTGTATCTGAGCTAAGGGAAGTGTTTTCGCTGTCTACAACAGTGTGTCTTCTTTTCACTCCTGTGTTTGGTTGCTCATCAGAAATTGAAAAGCAGCTAAATTTTCTTAAATCTCTCAGCAACTCCCCTGACCTTTTCCTCCTGCCAGGCTCCCTAATAAACCATGGACATACAGTGTCTGAAATCACTGACTCTGCAAAGCCATTTCTTTTATTTATTGAAATGAAGCTTGGTTTTGCCCAGCAAGAACAAAGCCTCTTTCAGTAGCAGCCGACTTGTACAGATGATTTAGGAAGCAGAGATAATTGCTGTGATACCTTATATTTGTATTTTAATGTGCTGTCTGTTGAACTTTTAGGAAGCGAAACCTCATATAATGATGTGCAAACCCTGACAAACCAGAGGTTGCTGCACTCTGAGGCTAATTGCAGATGCTCAGTGTTTGCACTGAGGAATCACTACTTCACCCCAGCTTTTGTCAAATTAAGACCATCACTCATTATTAGATACATTCTATATTAAAATGAGTTGTGGATCTTTTTTAAAAGCCTTGCATAGCACATGGCCTATGAAGGAAAGGGAGGTGTGTGTACATATATATATATTCCTTTTTGTAAAGAGCTTTTAGATGAGTGGGTAGAAAATACTATGTAATTACAGCTTAAATGGATGTTTTGTGACATAGCAGTGTGATCGAATTTACAGAAAAATCAGTTACACTTTATTTACTGTATTGTAGCTGATCTGTGTTCTCCAATTAGCAATTACAGCATGTAAGACCAGGTTAAGCCTTTCTTGTTGTTTCTAACAGGAAACATATTCATTTGTTTTAAAAACATAGACTGAGCTTTTCCATAAAATCATTTGCTGATACTTGTGTTTGGCTTTCTCAATCTGTACTGGCAAAAGCATTTGATTTCTTTTCTTTGGCAGGAAGCTTGGCCAATTTGGGGCATGAAGGGGGAAGTAGCTTTTGCAACAGCCATCGTGTTTTTCTTCCATTACAGAATATGAGCTATTCTCTTGATACAGTTAAATTTTTCATTCTTTTCCAGCCTCTCTTTCAGGCTTTAAAGTGAAATTCATCTCAGTTACCCAGTGGCAGCCCAAGGGTGCAGAATTTTGGGCGACTTTGCTGTAGATCACAGCCTATATCATACTAGGTTTTTTCTTTTATTTTTTTTTTCTGTTTTCCTCTTTCCTTTTACTGCAGCACTTTCAGCCTTGTTGCTTTTCAGGGTGAATTGGTCACGTCTTACTGGTGGGGCGTGGTCCAGTGTGACTTGTAGTTCTTCACTGTGACATCTGAAGTTCAGCCGAGCTGTTTTCATGAGTTCCCAGTTCCGTCAGAAATTCTGAAATTAAAAACTACCTGCTATCACTGTGGTCACAGAAGTTTTCAAGGCACTTTGTCACCAGTAGATCTGTGTCTTTTGACCATTGCTTCCCCATCCTGTTCTGAACACTGGATTGCTGAGCTGTAGTGGGATTTAACTGCAGCTCAGGGGTCCTTCATGTGGATGAGAACAGCCTTCAGTCCTGCCCTTCTCTTTGCTGGGCCCTCTCCTGCTGCAGTGGAACTTTTAACACTTGATAACACTGCCTGCCCTAGCATTACTGGGGAGCATCCTGTACCAGTCCCAGAGATGATAAATTACTTGATCTTTCTAGAAATAAAGCAGCTATAGAAATGTAAAAGATTCCTTAAATGAGAAGTCATTCTGTTTATTGTGTCTTTATGAATTGAATGGATACTTCTGTGAGAGTACAGCTTTCTCTGTTTACATTAATGATAATGCCTTCATTTTCCTTCTAGTCATTGTTTTTGTTTTGTTTTGTTCTTGTAGCTCAAAGCTTTCAGTAATACACATTTCCAAGGAGCATGTATAGATTTCACAGCAGAAGTTTCTGATTTTACATCATTCATACCATGTTCTTTTAAGGTTCTTCGGGGATGGTAAGTGTTGTTTTACATGCCACCATTTTCAGTGATATGAACTTTTTTTTTTTTTTTTTAGAAACCTTACTAAATTTCAGGCAACTGAAAACACATAACACATGCCCATCATATTCCATCGTGTCTTAGAACCTTTGTCTTGCAATGCATCTCAGTAACTCTCATCCTGTCCTTGCTTTGGGTAGAATGCATTTTGCTATCCCTGTGGGAAGTTTGCACAGTTACTGTGATTCTTTTTTAAACTCCAATTAGAATTTATTCCAGATTTTGAGAACTTGGTACAGTAGAAGTGTCTACATTCCCCTCGCATCGTTTGACTCTGGAACTGAGGTTTCTGTACCACATGATGTGATTTTGCTGCTTTGGGTTGCTTCATAGCATAGCCTTTGAAGTCACCTTACTTTTAAGCTTGACAAGAACAGAGAAATTTTTTATTCTTTGTGTCCTTAGCAAATCTTAAGTCTTGAAAAAAACTTGCTGTTAATAAGCAGCTCGAGCAGCTTATCTTTTCTGTTTCATTATTCTTGCAGTTGGCTCCTGTGTTACGAAGGGGAAATCACTGACAATCACTGTGTGCTGGAAGAAGGGCTCTACGTTGACCTCAGTTCCTGTGGCTGCCCAGCTGCTACAATCAAATCCCTCAAGCCTATTCAATATGTAAGGACTCTATTGGGAAAAAAAAATAATAACATTTTAGAACTCTTTTCCTAGTCAGATGTCTCAAACAAGTGCTTGTGGTATAGAGGAAAGAGTGAAGTTTGTTTTCTTGGCTTACAGGATTTTCTGGGTTCAGAACAAGTTGGGCTGCGTGCACTCATGCACGTGGTCACTTGTAGGTGTGTGCTCTTGGGTGTTCTGGGCTCAAAATTGCTCTGTTTTGTACAAGTTGCATTGGTTAACATTTTTCTCACTGATCCTGTGGCAGGTTCACCCTGGATGAGCACTGGGTGCCCCCAAGGCCACTTTATCCTTATCCCTCCTCAGCTGGACAGGGGAGAGAAAATACAGCAAAAGACTCGTGGGTTGAGATAAGGGCAGGAAGAGATCACTCAGCAGTTACCATCACAGGCAAAACAGACTGAGCTTGGGGAAATTAATTTGTTACCAATCAAATCAGAGTAGGACAATGAGAAATAAAACTAAATCTCAAAAACACCCTCCTTCCACCCCTCCCTTCTTCCCTGGCTTAACCTTACTCCTGATTTTCTCTGCCTCCTCCCCACAGCAGCTCAGGGGACAGAGAATGGGGGCTGCAGTCAGTTCATCACATATTGCTGCAACTCCTTCCCCCTCAGGAGGAGGACCCCACAACTCTTCCCCTGCTCCAGGAGGGAGTCTTTCCCACAGGATACAGTCCATCAACTTCTCCAGTGTGGGTCCTTCCTTGGGCTGCAGTTCTTCACAGACTGCTCCAGTGTGGGTCCCTTCCACAGGGTCCTCCCAGCAAAACCTGCTCCAGGATGAGCTCTTCTCTCCATGGGGCCACAGGTCCTGCCAGGAGCCTGCTCTAGCCTGGGCTTCCCACAGGATCACAGCCTCCTCTGGGCATCCACCTGCTCTGGTGTGGGGCCCTCCATGGACTGCAGGTGGATTTCTGCTCCACCAGGGTCCTTCACGAGCTTCAGTCTTGCAATTGAAGTGGCTTCTCTGCCCACTGCTCTCTAGCAATTGCCACCAACTTCTCCAAAACTCTTCGTCCTCCCCTGATCACAGAACACAAACTCAGCCTATGTGACATGTGTCCTTCAATGTAACCCTCATGAAGCTGGACTTCAGAGATTACTCAATTCAGGGGTTTTTTTTCACATATGAAGTCTTTTTTTTCATTTGTGAACAGATTTTTAAAACAAAAGCAAAAAAAAAAAAACAAAAACAAACAAACAAAGCAAGCAAAAAAAAAAGATACCAAAAAAAACCCCACCAAGCAAACCCAACCACCAAAAGCCACGGGCATGGTGGGAAGGATGTACAATTTGAGCTTGAGAGCTGGACTTTTCACTAGACTACACAGATACAGTGACTTCAGTGGAGCTATAGCTTCCCACCTCACCTGCTGAGAGCCTGGTTTTTAAGTTGGGCTTTTGGACACTGCTGTGCTAAATCAGAGTGAAGTATTAACATGGAATAGTAGGTCTCATCCAATCCCCCAGCCTGTAATCTCACAGGGAAGTAACTATGCAGTTTGGCATAGTAGGAAACTGCTGGCAGCCCTTGATTACTGAGGGCCAGGCCCTGGAAGAAGTGTGTTTGGCAGGCTGTGTGTGGGAAGCTCACATGTCTTCCTCTGCCTTGTGAGAGGCTTGCACCTCTTAGCTCAGTTCCTCTCTCTCAAGTAGGAGCCCTCGTGTTTCACAAAATCAGGGCACTACACAGCATAAAACGCTGTTGAACCCCACCTGTTTCACAAATAGCAGTGCCCTCAGTGGCCCCTAAGTCATTGTGAGTGCAGATCCCCCAGGTCAGGACTCCCAGGCTTTGTGTGGCACCGATGTGATGCCGGGCACGGAGCAGTGGGTTCCGTCCATGGTCAGGAACAGCCACGGCTCATTCTGTGCATTGTCCACAAAACACTGTTCCTGGAACAGAGCCCTCCTTATTACAACATATTTCTGTTAGCTCATTCAAGAGAGAAGCAATGCTATTCCCAAGTGGAGCTGTTGTGTAGCTTTATTGAATTCATTTGTGGCCCTGGGAACCCCTTCCATTATTCGGCTTTCAATTAGCAGACCTAAGGTGTGTCTCTTGGTTGCTTATGTGTGAGAGGGAGAACCTTTAACCCCAACACCAAGCCCTGAATGTGCATTGTCTCCTGCTCCACTTTTCAGTGAGATGAATTTGCTGCAAGTGTGTCTGTGAAGGACTCCCACACTGTGGTGGGGAGCCATGCATTGCTGTGCGTGAGGTTTCTGCATCCCAGATGTTCACCAGGAGAAGAGGTCCATGTGTGGCACTGGCAAAGGGGAAAAATAATATGCTTTTAGGAGTACAAAGGCCAGCTCATTAGCAGCCTTTGGGAACAGTCCAGGCCTGTTTAGTGGTGTAGGTGTGGTCCAGCTGTATGTTTTAGAAGTAGATTATATCAGCCAGTTCTTTGGGATAGGAGAAGAAAATGGGCTGGAGAAAAATGGGGGCATGGGATCTGGGCATTCCCTTGGTAATTTGCAGGATTGTAGTGATAATTAAGTGTATGTTACCTTGATTTTTGTACAGCTCAGTGAAGTGTAAAGCGTAACTTATTGAGTTTTCACTTCAAAGCTGTAACAGTTTGAGGGGCTTACTTAGATGTTGTCAGCTGCTGCAAGATTTCTGAGCTCCGTTTTGGAAGCAGAATTTGAGGATTAACATTCCTTATTTGCAGGACTCCCTCACGGCATCGGTGGGATTTTGTGACCTGACGGAACAGCACTGTAAGGTGGCAGTGGAATTTTTGTGACTAAGGAAACAGCACTGCCTTAATCCATTTGAAACAGCGAAGAACTTCTGCAAAGCCTTTACTTTTTTTTTTCCCAAAAATAGATCAACCAATTGAAGATGAGGAAGGGATTTGAGGGAATCGTTTGTTCTATGGAAAATGCAGCTTTCGTGCAAACAAAATGTTTGCAAACAAATATAACAAATGTTATATGCTTATTCTCCAAGGACTGTAATACTCAAACTAAATCTTCAGGAGGCCCTAGCTGTTCTTTTTTCCTGCTGTTCCATTTTGCTCAAACTTAGAACGATCTGTTTTGTCCTTCTTGGAGTGTTTAGGATAAGTTGTAGGTTAACAAGAGGATAGAAAGAAGGAACAAAGCAAATGTGTGCCTTGATAATGAGTGTGTTATGTCCTTTGGTTTTGATATTCTGTGAGGAAAAAATAGTGGTGTAATACTGCAGGTTTCCATTCCTGCATCAGCGAGGACTTGCCTTTTGTGTTTCCATGGGTTCATGGAAAGGAAAGCAGCAAAAGAGTGGGTGAAGTCAGCTGTGCCATTTATAGGGCCATGGTTGCTTATTGGGGAATTTACCCAGTGTTTGTTGCTTGAAGAGGTTATTCTTTTGGGATAGTGACCCTTATGTTCTTGCAATGGGGAGCTCTAGTGCTGCCTTTTCTCAGACAGGCTGTATTGTCAAACTCCCTGTCATATTTGCTGTGATTTCCGTGGACAAGAATATTCAGTATTGTTGCAATGAGCACTTAGTTTTCCTTCTAAAGTGTTAACAGCAGTCCTTAAGTTAAACCAGTCTCAATGTTTCTAAAATCAAAAATGAGATCCAGGTTGTAGGTTGTGCAATGCTTTTTTTGTTTGGTTGCTTTTTTGCCCTTTTCTTTTGAGGCATTCCTTATTCTTGCTCTGATCAACTATGACAGTTCTTGTATTTCTGTATTGATTTTCTTTTTCTAAGTTAAATACAGGTGTTAACCAATCTTCCCAGCATTCCTGTGAGGCAAATAATGAAATCAGATACAGGAATGAATTGGTTTCCCAGGGCCAGGCAATGATTCATTCTGTGTAGCTGGGACTGGACTGTGCGTGTTCTGTCGTCCAGCACGATGTTCCTCTCCCTCAGCCAGGCATCCATCCCACACTGAAGGGAGTAGCCAGGCAGTAAAGACAGTTGTAAATGATGAGTTAGCCAAGGCTGAAGTGTAAGATTTTCCCATGGATGTTGAAATACAGCTGTGGAGGCTCATCCAGTTCAGACTCTGGCAAATGCTGTTTGCAGAGCAGCAGGTCAGCACAGACACGAAGTGGGGAACTGCACCAACCCTTGCCATGATTGGGTTAGTCATGCTTTGGTCTGGCCCCATGGACTTCTTTCTTTGGCATTATTAGGCTTTGGCATCAAAGTTTGCAAAATCTAACTTTGCAAAAAAAAAAGGTGTGAGGAAAAACATGTTTTGGCTGAGCCCTTTTCAAAAGGGCTCTATTGGTAATAGTTTTCACAGCATTCATAATGCAAAATTATCCATATGTTATCCATACCTAAATCTATAGTTTTTGTTACAGGCACATGTGCAAATTCACCTGTGCAAATGATTTTCAGTTCCAGGGCCCTTTGGTCAGCTGCTTTGTGTCTGCACACTGCTGCTTTACAAAGCACCTAAGCTTTGCACTGCAAGCAAAAGGCATTTAAAGGAAGCTCCTCTTGAGTGGTCTTTGTTTAATATCAAACACATCAGGCTTGCATTGTGGTTTTTTCTGAACGAGTAGAGTATAAATATCTGTTCTGAATTGTGAAAAATTTGTGGTGCACAGCTTCTCTCCATTTAAAAAAAAAAAAAATGGTAAAAATCAGTAGGGGAAAGCCTGATCTGAGTTGAACTGCACAAGAGATTTTTGGTGTGTTGATTTCCATGGCTTACCTGTGTCATTGCCACTGCATCATGTGCTGTGTGAGCTACAGGCTACCACACCTGTTAAGTAAAGAATATCAGTGTATTTAACAGTTCACAAGGCTGCTCATATCTTGAAATGCTGTGTAAATATAGCCTTTCTTCATCACTGGCCTCTTGAATATATTAAATCTCTTCAAGTTTCTCCCTGGACACTGGCATTAAAAAACAGAACAAGCAAAACCTCTTAAAATATTATTGGTGCTGGTTTAAGCAAAGGCACTTAGTTCCCCCACACATAAAGTAATTCTTTAGTGCTTTGTCATTCTCACAGTTGGCAAGCTTTTCCCAAAGGATGGCATTTCAGGTTATTTTCCTTGAAATAACTCTGAAAGGAAGCTGAGGTAATCCTGACCTAGACATGGGAATGACTTGCCAGGGAACGTGGATGACTTTAGCTCACCTTTGAAATGGGGAACTCGGGTCCACCTAAGGCAGTGAGGTTGTCCCCTCCTGTATTCTCTGCCAGTTGCCCTTCCTCTGGCTCTTGGAGAGCCCCTTTCATCCCTGGTCTGTCAGGACTGGGCCTTCATGAAGAAAGCTGGTCCTTTGAGCCTCACAATTACCTATCAGTGGTGAAAGTTCCACCTGAAAATGGGTGAAAATGCTCCTCAGCGTTCTGCAGGGAAGGGTGGGAGCAGGATGCCTCTGTAGGAAGCATAACAGCATGGCCTCTAAACCTTGTTTTTCGCTGTTGGTAGTTTCCATGGAACTACGAAAACAAAGTCAGAGAAAAAAGCCAGGCCAAGTCACTGCTGCCAGCTGTTGGTGTATAAGGGAATACATAAAGTGAGGAATCAGCTCCTTGCTCTGTATATGGTTATGGAAATGTGAGAGCTCAGTCCTTGACACAGCAGCCTGTTTTCTGTCTGTGCAAGGTCAGTGGAGTCCTCCTGAGGTGTCGCTGGGAAGGTGGTGTCAGCCCTTGTGTCAGGCTGTGTGTGCGCCAGGGACACAGTGCCTGCTGCCTACAGACACACGGGGACTCTGAGCAGCTGGACAGGACATTCCCAGGCCATTCAGGTCAAACAGTCTCACCCCAGGACAGCTGGAGTCATTTCAATTGACTCTGGAGTCATTTTAATTGACTCCACCAATGTGCTGTCCTGGTTCTTAGCATATAAATGGATATGCTGTATCAGATAACTTGTCCATCTAGTACAGCATCCCTGTCTCTTGACATACTGAATATTGCAGCAGCAGGATAAACATTTAGGCTTGGGTGACAGTGTCTGGCAACATGGATGCCAAAGGGTGTTTCTCATGGTCAGTAATGCCCTTGTGAAAATTGACCCTGTTGGACCTGTTCTGGACACAATTTCTGGTGTCTGCTCAGGTGAAAGGCAGTGCCAAGACTCTTGCAAACAGGAGTGTGATGGTACCTGCCCTGCTGAGCAGGGCAACCTGAGAAAGAGCTGCCTGTCTGCTGGTCTGGATTTCAAAGTAAGCCCTTAGTCACACATTGTAAATTTGACCCACTCCATCTAGCAGAAGGCACTTGGGAAGAACTGACATTCCAAAATAAAAACACTGCAGGTTTTAATCTCTTTATGGGTTGTAACATTAGTTTTTTAGGAGTACAGTGAGCTTTAAAAATGCCTCTGATGATCCCCAGGGTCTTCTTTAAAATATCTCAGCAAACTCTGTCCTTGCAGTGTTGCATGACTTAGATTGTCCCTGCACTGGTTGGCAGAGGAAGACAACTTCTCTGAGGCAGATTCTGGCCAACCAGCTACATACCAAGTGCTCTGAGTCAGTGTCAAGTAAATTTGTATGTCCTGAATCACCACTGAGCTGTTCAGAGACACTTCACTACAATACATGTGCCTCCTCAAACATGAAAGTTAATTTCTCTTAATTGCTCGGTGCCTGTGTCAACTTTAGTTCAAGATTTTGCTTCATTCCTTCCACCTGAGGCCATATCTTTGCTGCAAGAGAAATCCTAACTTTTGCTTGAGCCAGCTATCTCAGGGTAACCTCTCCTAAGAACCACTTGACTTTCCTGGAGAGGCTGATCAGAGGTTACCCAGACCTGTTCCCTCCTCCTGCAAGTGCTTATGCTTTTGGTTACAATACTCCCCTTATGGCTTTAGGTTAAAAATGCTGAAGAATTGTGCCAGTGTTCCTTGTGCTAAGGCACAGACTTCATGTATTTAAGTATTTCCTCCGTTTTTCTGCTGATCTTATAGCCGGACCACATTTTCATGCAAACTGATCCTTTTATTTGCTTTCATAGGCAATCTATCAACTCTAGAAAAGGACATTAAGCGAAAAGTGTTTCAATTCTGAATGAGATTGAAGGGTTTACTAATTATGAGGTTTCCTCAGGATAGTCAGGAGAAAAATAGGAATGCCTGTTAAAAACATTGAGAACTTTTTAGTTGCCCTTTTTAACCTCTTGCAGTTTGTAGCTCTCTAAGATTTTTGCAGTGAACTACTGCTAATTGAAGTCTGTGGACACTCTACTTGTTATTTGCATCACTGCTTTAGGTGCAATCTGCAGGTCACCCTGAACACTGCTGGTGATGTGTTCCATCAGTAAGTAAATAACCTGGATTTATGAAAAGCAAAAACTTAGGCCCTTATGATACAAACCAGATCAAAAAGATTTTTTTCAGATGCAGAGGCCTCTCTGCATCACAAAGTGACTCACTGTGCTTGGCATGTGTCAGTGGGGCCACCACACTCTGGTGACAAAGCCACTCATAAATGCAGTGTGTTCCAGCTCTGTGTGCTTTGGGGTTTTTTTCCTTCTTTGTTAAAGGGAGCATGACCTGACCCAAAAGCACGTGGAAGTTCAACTGAAGTGGGCAAATGTGTGCCTCATGTCTAACACCTGAAGTTAGACTATTCCTACTAAAACTTTGCTTTTTTTTTTTCCCCTCTCTCCTTCCTCCTCCCCCAGGTTTTTGCTGAGCCTTCCATCAGTCTGTTCACCCTGGAATGCTGCAAGGGCAGAGAGCTGCACTTCAGTGAACCTGTCAGCTCTGTTCTGAATGAGGACCTTCATTTTTACACTCAGTCGGTGTGGGTGAGGAGTGGACTGTAAGTATGGAGTAAATATTCCTGTCAGTTTTGCACTGCAGGGACTAATACTGAACATGCATTTTCTCACCCTGTCCATAGGATGTTTCACATTCTAACTTTAATTTTGATACAATATAAAATTCTAAAATGCAGTTGAATGCCAGACACACTTCTTGTATCAAGACCCAAAATTGAACAAAAACTCTGGGCAGGGGGTGTATTTCCCCTTGTAAGAAGAACTGTCCTTTCATCTCTGTACAGTAATGACCAATAGAGCCTGTTGTTCAAGCAAGGAGCCAAAAGTAAGTTTTGATTGCTGACTTATAAAGACAGATAGTGTAAACTCAAACTGCCTTTATTGACTGGCTGTAAAATACCAGCTGTAAACTGCAGTGATTTAAACCACTGCATTGGTTCAGTGAAGCTTGTTGTGCTGACTGGCTGCCAAAGAGGCAGCAGCTTCTGAGAGAAGCTCAGGGTGGATCTGACAGCTGGAACAGTAATTTGCTTATTAGTTTAACCCTCCTCCCTGAGTGTGAACACACACCCAGGTTCTTCTATGAAAACTGTTTCACATCTGCAGGAGTGACCCTCTAACCTCTTCCACGTGTTGCCCCTTCACCTTTTGGAAAACCTCTCAAGTGTTCTGTCTCTGACCAGGTTTTCAGCCTCCACATCCACAGCAGCAACAATTTGCAGAGTCTCATCCTGCGACTGAGACTGGCTGGAAACTGCTGTTCCTCTAACGTGACACACACTTCCTATGTTTCCCACCTTTCTTCACACAGACAAGGCTGTAATTTTCTTGAGAGAATAATGAATATAAGCATCCCTACAGAGCTTTGCCAATTCACTATGAGTTCTGGTCCCTAACATCTGCCCCTTCCATCCTGAAACCTTGCTGGGAATATAGAGTGAGTGATGATCTGCTGCTGTTGTCTTGAGGTGCCCCAGGTGAGGGTGGCAAACAGCTGCTGTTTGGCTGAGAAGTGCACACATTCCCCCTGATCTGTGTTAGTCTGGAGGGGGAAAGGCCTTCTTTGGGAGGAACACCTGACTGATTTCCGGTGGGAGTGTGTAAATCTCCATTCCTCTATGGAGATGTTGAGGTCTGAAGTTCATCCTGTTGGAAAACATCCCTTTATGAGTTTTCTCTGCCCTCTCATCAGGGTTGTGGAACTGGAAATTAAATCCCTTTGCCCATGCATTTGGCTGTTAAGGAAGGGTGATGGCTTTAGGACCACATAGCAAGAAAGCACAGGAGAGTGAGTGCAGCACTGCAGCTCCTCCTGCATCTTTCTGCTCATTACTGTGCATCCAAGCCAGGTCAGCTCCTTCCCTGTCTTTGGGAAGGGTCAGGGCAGAATGGCTGGGCTTCCTCTGAGTTGTTTGTGATGCTCCCTAGGAAGCAGACCCCCACAGCCTGTCCCCATCCCATCCCACGTGGCAGATAGGCAGCCTAAAGGTGTCAGGTGATCGTGGGAAGTCTGTGGGTTTGTTTGCCTTATCTGTGATTAAGAGCTCAGGAAGGCGGATTTGGAGGTTTTTTAGCTCCTTGTCCCAAAGCCTGCTGTCATCTTTAGGCAAATAACAAAGATTTACTGGCCACCTCAGCAATGGCACAAGCCTGGGCTGTGGCTTGGCAAAGGCTGCTGAGGTACTCTGAGATGTGGGACAGGAGGCACAGCCTGGTGAGAGCTGAGGTGAGTTCTGCCTGAGTTGCTGAAGGCCAGAAGCCCAACCTGGCTTCATCTGGTGATCACTGTGACAGTCTCTCCCCTCCCTGTTTCCTGCAACTGTCTGCTTTGAAACTGCATTCCAAATGAGACTGTCCCGTGCTCCAAGAACAATGCTAACAAATGAATTCTCAGTGACCTGACAGAAAACGTTGCAAGGAATAAGTCAGGAATGGATTAGAAGGGTAAAGAACACAGTGGTGGTCAGGCTGCTCTGGATACCTGTTAGTCAGGAGGGATGGGACTTCATTTGAGGAAAGGGATACAGCCTCATTGCAAGGCAGTTCACACTTAAGGCTCCATGGAGCCCTGAGCAAGGCTGGCTGTCGAGTTCCTCCAAATTATAAGCCATGGGAAAGGCAAATTCCAGGTGCTGTGAGCAGGGTGGATCTTTTCTCACTGACTTGCAGCTCACCCACCCCTCACGATCTTGGCAGCTGACCTGCAAAACAGGTAACCGGGGAAACCAGCGTTTGCTTTGTGTCCGCAGGAGTTAAGGAGTCGTTTAGGATTCACACAACAATGTGCTATTGATACAAACAGAGGGGATCTGTGATCCTGAAGCTGCCCTTTGTAAGCAGCATTCACTGAGCAGATGCCCAGATAACAAGGGGGTCTGTATGTGCCAGTGGTGAGGGATTCAGCCGTGCCCACAGCTCAGATATATTCACTACAGGAAAGTCTGCTATAGCAGGGTGTCAGTTTTGGAGTAAACACTTGGTGTTTTCAGACAGGTGGAATAGCTATAAAAAGCTTTAACTGTAATGAAAACATAGGACGAGATCCTCTCATAATTAATATGTACAACCAGGCAAAGCTGCACCCGGTGTGTGGCTTCCTAATTTCTTAACTCTGCCTGCTGAAACCAGCATTATTCCCATCTGGGTCCTCCTGTTTGTGGAGAAAAAAAATGGGGGGGGAGATGGGGAGTGGAGTTTACAAATTTCAGGCAGAAAAAAACAGAAAACAGGTCTCAGTGTCAACAGAAGGCAGTAAAACCACTGACATGGGTGGCATTTTGCAGCACAGAAATAGAGGTTTGACATGAGCACCACTGTGGAGAGGTTTGGGGTTTTCAGGAGCACAGCCCTGACCTGCAGTTTGGGTTTGCTGTGGTTAACATGAGGTCCTTCATGTCCTATTCTCTGTATTCCAGGTGGATTGCGTACGAGGGATGTAATTTTTTAGGAAGGCAGATTCTGCTGGAGCCCAGTGAGATTTCAAACTGGAATGAACACAGTGGCTGGAAAGTAATTGGTTCCCTTCGTCCCATGAAGCAGGTACTGTAAGACTGTGTGAGGACAGGGGTTTTTTTTGGACAGGGATTTGGTGCACAAGTATCAGCTCTAGCAGCAAGTACAGTGGTGTGTGTTGTACTCCTTAAATCAGGCCAAATGGTGACAGCCAGAAGGACCTACTGGAAGATTACTGAAGCAGAAAATTCCTCTTGTGGCAGTTATTGAGATCTATGTTCGCCTCCTAAAGGGAAATAATTCCTAGTTTCTCGGAGCCAAGTTTTGTTTTTCTGAATTGCTCATTAGCATGTCCTGGAGATGCTCTATTTTTACACTTTTGCCATAAAACAATATAATGAGAAAACCAATTCCAGACTTGTTTCATAATTAACATAAATGGAAGCAAGAGCAAATTTTATTGTGCTGCAGCCTGGATTTCCAAAACAGGCAAAGTTCATGCAGACCCACCAGATTTTCCCTCTCTGCCTCACCCCAAGTAATGCCAAGTTCAGTCAAATTCAAAGGGTCAGGTCTCAAAACCACAACATTCTTAGGAGCTTTGCAAAAGGTAGATGGAGAAGCAAGACTGAGATAAATGTCCCTAAATCAAGGAAAAGGAGATACAGTTGTGCTTCTCTGCCTTTCCAAAGCCCAGCAGGCCATCAGTGACACACAGAAGCTCCAGACCAGTCAAAGCAGGTGTTGTCACTGCCCAGCCTTGCAAAATGAGACAGGCTTTGCTCAGTGACTTCATAATTCCTTTTAAGGAATATATACACTATACTATAATAATAACTATACCCATTATGTTTATGGATGCTTGGTGGGAGAGAGGCTTTACTGCCTGCTTGTTTTAATATGGAAAAAAGGGCATTCAAAGCTCCCAGAAGAAAAACTGTGCTTGAGTTTGGGGTTCCAGCAGAGCTGCTCTTTATAACTCCCTGCTCTTTATTTGCACTGAAATCAGGGAATGACAGAGCAAAAGCTCAAACCCTGTAACAGCCCTACAAAATCCTCTTATTTTTTGAGTAAACTGAGTAAACAGGGATGCCAAGTCAGTACCCTGTTTTCTGTGTATTTTCAAAAGCAGAATGCATGTTCAAAAGTGGTTTATGTCTGCCATGTACTCCAGTTAACGGGGGTTGAAGTTACTGGATACGAAATTCAGTAAGTTTTGTGTCCCAAGAATAAAAAGCCTGTGGAGTCCAGCCCACTGCCTGGCCTTGGAATGACTGAAATGCGCTGAACTAGACATGTTTGCATACCCCAGGAATTAGGTCTATAGCCATAAATACATTTTTCTTAAAGAAAACCTATCTGCCATTGCTGCTTAGAGCTGTGAAAGCCGCTTGCTGCTGCTTCACATGCACATTTCTAACAAAAAAATCAGTGAGCATCTTCTTCTGATACTGGAAATTGGACACAGTGTTTAGAAAACTGATGTGAGGTGGAGGGGAGGCTCTCTCACATCAGCTGTGGTAATCTCTGTGTTGTAACCCGCTCCCCTCACCCCCTCCCAGCCTGCAGTGTACCTGAGGGTGAGGAACCGAGCCCAGGGGCGGTACCTGACGGTGGCTGGGAGCCTGGCAGACGTCAGAGCAACCTCAGTGTGTGCATCCCCCTACAATGGCAGGAACACCCAGGTCTGGCACTACTGCAGGGGGCTCTTCAAGTCCAGGGTGAGTTTCCAGGTGCTGGAAGTGGGTGGGTTGTATCCCTGCTCTCCTCTGACCTTCACTTCTTGCTTTTACTCTAGGCCACCACTAACACCCAGATGGCTTTTGTTCTCTCTTACACCAAAACTCGTAAAAAGCTACATCTTCTTACTATGTATAGGTCACTTTGATCTGTCTGCTTGGGCAAGTTGGGCTACTTCTCACATCTGTCTAATGGGACCGATGCTCCCGGAAGTAGAAACCAGTCGAAACCTGGTTTTGTCTAAAGTCGCAAGTTTAAGTTTAAAACTTGAAAGAGTAAAGAATTTATCTGAAAAGTAATGTGTGAACGGAGTAAGTGATTTTCTGTTAATGCTGCCCTTGATAGTCTGCTCTTGGTATAAAAAGAGCTGATAATTTAACATAAAAAGCTGATAACATAAAAACCTGAAGTAGCAGAGACACTGCCTTTGATCAGGCAGCTGATCAGTTGCTGCATAATCTGCTCCTCACTTGTCCTCACTCCTTCTTACCAACTGCAGCACCATTTCCTGACATATGCTCAGTGCCTGAAACAAATCAGGCGCAAAACTGAGGATTTGTGGCCTGGATCTCACCTCTCTTCTTGTTCCTTAGGCCAACAATGCCTGTCTGGATGTCATTGGTGGCAGAGATGTGCCTGGGGCCAAAGTTGCCCTCTGGGCAGAGCATGGGAAGGACAGACAGAAGTGGAGACTCAACGAGGATGGAACCATCAGTTCATACCTCAGTGAACAACTGGTCCTTGATATTAAAGGTATTTAAAAAACAAACAATCCCTAAACTTCTCACGTGTTTTAGGTATGTTTTTTGATTAGGGTTAATTGCCATATTCCAGGGTGGTTTTTTTTTTGTATTTAAGGTTTCCTGTTAGGTTTATATCCGGCTGCTTGTCAGTGGGACAACAGGGCAGGGAGGAACCTTTCTCTTTTGATTCCAGAGGTTTATTTTGATCAAATCAACTACTGTACTTCAGAGAGTTGAGCAGTGCTGATGGCAAGGAATGCAAGTTAAAGACAAAATGGTCAAGAAGCAACCACAGAACAGCTGTGGCTCAAAAAGTGAAAAGGAGTTTAAAAAAGAAGGCTGGTTAAAATTGTCATTGCTCAATTACAGACACCTCATGGAATTTCTGTTTTTCAGCTAATTTTCCTACTTAATCATACTTCCTAAATATTATCCATAGATTTTTATGAGCATTTCTTTTAAAAAAATTTCCTTCATGACTTTCTTTTGTTTTTAAGGAGGAAATTATTATGACAAGAACCACATCATTATGAATCAGCCAGTAGAAGACAGACCTTCACAGAAATGGGATATAGAAATATTGTAAAACCCACCCCACAGATGGACCTTCTGTGGGCTATTAACATCTTAGAGGGGGGAAAACAAGACCCCAGCTACTGAAGTCACACACCACTGAAACCATAAGCAGCAACTCCTCTCTACTTTCCTTCATACCAAGCACCAACTCTTTGAAGAACTGAATTTTGCACAAATCTGGAGGAGGAGATGTTGATCCAATGTCTCTCTACAGGGAAGTTGATTTTTCGGAGGCTGCTCCTATGAAAGTCACTTATTAGTCTTCATCTGCAGTATGAAAGGTATAAAAGTATAAAAGACTAGACATAGGCTTTGCAGTAAGGAACTGCAAGAGATAACATGGGAAAGGCTCTTCAGAGATGTTGTCTTTACCTTCCTCACACTGATGGAAGCTCCTTGAGGAATGAATGCACTGGTGAGCTTGAAAGAAGGGGAGTTGGACTTTCATGTCCCAAGCGAAACTGTTTGGGCTCCAGGCAATCCTGAAGCTCAAATCTTGCTCAAATGCAATTTATTTTGTTCATAAAGACAAGTTTGAATTGGAATTCCAGCTCAGCATGTGAAATGAGGTGATAGAGAAAGCCTGACACTCACCCCCTCAGTGTTACTGGTCGGCCTTTGCCTTCCCTCGTTTTCACTGTACCAAATTCCCAGATCCAGGAACTGGTTTTGCTGCCCCGTGGCCTGTTTACTACCCATGCAATTGTGAGTTATCCCAGAAGATCACCTTTAACAGGAGCCATATGTGCATGTATCAAACCAGGGATAAATGGCCCTGGGTCAGGCTGCACTTCTGCAAGGGCTAAAGCTGCTTTTAGCACAGCAACGATTTTAAATGTAAGCTGTATTCTGGTTCAGTGTACATAGCTTAATTTAATGCAATGTCATTTGGTCTTGAAACCATGTCTTCCTGCAGAGAACAACTCACCCTGGCATGTATTTTCAAAGGTGCTGGCAGCCTGCATTCCAGTGTTGCTTAATGAGAAATCCCTCAGATCACTGGTTTCAGCATCCCTTACCTACTTAATTGAAAATACCTTTTTTTTTTTTCATATCTGTATATTCAGGGTATGTATTTCTAGGACTATTTAAGGAGTTCAGGTTAGCTAAAGGCAAGATATTTTAGATTGCAAAAGCTGTAACTATTTCAGTTGTGCACTCAAACAGGATCACCCCCAAACGGATGAAGACATAACCCCAAGTCTGTCATAGAAATAAAATATATGGATGTCTATTTTTGTATGAAATGGAGTTCTATATAGTACTATTTAAAAAAAAAGAACTATCTACTTGCACTTACTATTTTACATTCTAAAATTATCATAAATCTGCTGTTTGAGTAACAGATCCTCAAATATATGTATATATTTTTCCAACTAAAGCACTTGTTTAGTTTTTTTCCTTGTAAGTCAGTACATCAAGTGTTCTGCACGTGACTTGCTTTCCATATGAAATTTTAAAAGCCTGTGTAAAAAGTTGTAGTTTTTTAAATGAAGAATGACTAAATCATATTTGGTGTCTCAGTGTTACATAACAAAGCAAAGCAGGCTTTTGTACTTAGGAGACCTTGAATGTAAAATGCTAAAGCATGTATATTTTAACTGTATAAAACTTTTTAGGAGGAACATTTTGCTTGTCGGTTTCTTTTTTTAAACAAACTAAACAATAGTTTTTTAGCAGGTGTCAAGCACATTCCTGTAAAATATTTCTTTTCAAATGGACAAAAAAAAGGGATAAGTATCTTGAGTACATGGCTCTGCTGTCACATGAGTTTAATACTTCACTGATTTTTAATAGTCACTACTCATCAAAACCCACTTGAGTGAGCATTGAAGATACAGGCTCCAGTCAGAGGTTTTTTGGGTTACTTTGACATTAAAACTGGTGCTGGGGGAGCACCAGTGTTGGCAGCATCTGAGAGGAAAGGGCAAAATCTTCCCCCTTTGGGAACACCACACGCAGCTTCTACTGAGAAGCTTCTGTCCTGTCAGGGCAGTCAAACTGAACAAACATGTTTTCTTGCTGCTGAACTTTACAAATGAAAAAAAACAAGTTACTGTTCTATGCCCAAGGTTCTGGATCCTGCCCCATGTATAACTTTAGCAGCTCTCCAGAGGGAAGGGGATACCACAGCATTGGTGTTACTAGGAGTGACTTTGTGCATCCCAGACATGGAGCTGTGGCTCACTAGACAGTGAGCAGATTACCTGTTTTCCCCATGCCCAGTTTCCTAAAACTGAGGAAAGAAAAGCAAGTATTTGTTTAGACAGCACCACAAACCAGAGGCTGGATGGATAAAAAAGTAATTTAATAAGCCTCGCTCTCAGGAGATGCTTAATAGACAGAAACACTCCTTTAGAGGAGCAGCTAATTCACAGAAGCATCAAAGAACTTCAATCAGACATTCACTCCACAGGGACAAGGCAAGGTTTTCTTTCTCTTCATCTGAGGTGAGGTTAAGCTCTTTAACATGAACAGTGCTGCTACTCCAAATCTGCTTCAGTGCTTCCAAGTATGACAAAGGAAAGCGCAGCCCATGAGTCTGCTGGGGAAGAAGAAACAGAAAAAAAATCCTTCAGCTGAGAGCAGTGTCCTTATTGCACAGCAGTGTGTGAGGCTGTGGGTAGGGAGCAGCAGGAATGTGCTCCCTTCCCACAAGGCACTGGTGTCACTGAGAGCATTCTCCAGAAGACTCGGTTTTATCCAGACCTGTTTTATCTTCGTAGGGAAAATGCTGAACTCTATTCCGTGTTCCAGCACGCTTTTTGAGGTGGGGATGTTTACAGCATGTGGCTTTCTCCTGTGGTTTACACATGGAAGAATTAATAGCCTTAAACTTACACTCTTGCCTAGCCCTATCCATTATTTTTGGAAGCTCACAGAAGTTTATTTCTAGCTGCCACATGCAGTCTTTGGATATAGTTTGACACAACCACAGAGGAGCTCCATTCCCAGGCCTGGAGTCTTCAAGGGCAAGAAGGAATATTCTGGGATCTGCACATGTTGTTCAGGTGCCAGTGTACAACCTCAGCTCTGGAGGACCAGTGAGATTCACTTCCAAAGAAAAATAAGTGCCAGGCAAAAAGCCTTGCTGTAATTACCGAGACAAGGACAGACTGTGCCCTGTTTTGCCATTCGAGTGTTTCGGATCACAGAGCTCAGACACAGCATCTCACTGCCAAAAAAGCAGAAATAAAGGTTCCAAAGCTCAAAGCCATGCTTAGGAAGGATTTATGACCCAGCAAAAGCACACTGTACCTGCGAGCAGGAACAGAGACAACCTGAAAAGTACATTCCAGAGCAAGGTAGGTCTTTACTCGCAGTGCTGACCCACCCTGCCTAAAATGAACACCCCTGCAGTGTGTTCCATTGGATACAGAATCTAACATGGGGTTAGCATGGCAGTGATCCCTAGGGAGTATCTGCTGGCCTATCCAGTAGCCTCAGTAGAGGATGTGCTAAGGACACACCAGTAAGAGCTGGTTTTAGTTGCTCCAGTATCTTTGCTCACTGGGCCATAAGGCATGCACCAGAAATCCTGTTAACATCTCGAGTGTTTAATTAAGCATGAGATCACATTACTCAGTTCCACTGTTAAACTGCCTCTGTGGTGCAGCCTCAGCTCATCTGGGCACTGCAGGGCTGGGCAGAAAGGCTCTGGGTGCTGAGGATCACGGCAGAACCCAGGCCCTGCTGCCATTTTGGGCAAGCTCATCTCATGCAGCAAAACCCACCGTGGAAAGATAATTTTTGGTGTGTCTGCAGGAACAAACCTGGGCCGTGCCATCCTCACTGGCAGTGTCATCTGTCCCCATCATGTGAGTGTCTCTCCTGTTTCTTAAGGAATGATACACATAAACCATCTCCCTGCGAATTTCATCCTAAAAGACAGCAGGGAGGAAACAGTTACATGTGATCCACAGCCTCAGACTCATCTCACTGCACTTGCCAATGCTCCTTAATTCTGGAGTCACTCTTACAACAAAGCATGCAAGTCACCCTCCCAAATGAATTTTCCAACAGCCACCTCCCACAGCAATAAGGGACTCTCCAAAACACCTCTGAAAATTTATTTACAATCATCTTCTGCCTTAAAACTGCCCCTGCTAAAGTCCCAGGAGTGATGCTGTACAGAAAACAGGCCATTTAAGGGAAAGTATTAATGAACAGGTGTGCATCAACACATTTCCAGTCTGATACTGATCTGTCTCTTAAAAATCACACGCCCATCATCAGTCCTTGGTCAGAGCTGTGCAAAGCAATTCAGAGCTCTCTGGGCAGGTTGCACATGGAATTTGTGGACACAAGTCTTCCATGTGTCCTGTCATCCTGGGTTGATCTGTGTGACATCAGAAGGCAAGGTGGCCCAAAAATTGGGGGGAAAAAGTCTCCAAAACCTACACAGTCTCAATATGGACACAAGCAAGATGGAGGAAAAAATCAGAAAGTTATGGTGTGTTTTTCTTGGGAAACATTCAATTCATCCAAACAAACCCCAAACTGTACAAGATAATCTTTGCTGTGTGTCCCGCCCCCTTTTTTTTACTAAAAAACCTTCATGGATAAGAAGCAGTATAAACACAGCATAATGCAAGATGCATGGATCAATGTTGTGGAACAACTTAGTAGTGCCCCTGGCACCTGCTTGGATACAGAGATAACCCAGAAGTGAAGACTAAATGCAGCCACAGCAGCAGCTGCAACCACCAGAATTCCCTCTCTTGAGAAAATCTATTTTTATAAATTATTCCTGTTCTTAAATACAAAGAATAGAAAAAAACCCCTATTATCAAGACCTGTAGAGGCCATTTAGCTGCTGTAATGATCTACCCCATCAAACCTGAGACAAAAGCCATGTACCTCCCCTACAGAATCATAGGCTGAATTTAGTTTTGAAGCCCCCCCTCCAGAAGTTTGGAATGTGCCCTATCACTCAACAAACAACCCCACAGTATCCTAACAAACCCTAATGGGATGCAGGATCCAGCTCAGTGTAACTGCATGACCCTTACAGACCTTTTGCACAGGAGAGCAACAACTCACATGCCTCACATGCACTCCCCAGCCCACCCCAAATGTACAGAGGTGGCTTCACTGCACCCACAGCATTCTCTTGATCTGGTTCCACGGAGATGAGAGTGTGATCTCTGAACTGCAGTCTGATTTTGCTGTCTATTTTTGGCAATTTCCCACCTAAGAAAAATAAATCCTCCTTAGAAAGGCAGAAAACCAGACAAACGGTTCAACTGAGCCCCCCTGTGCTCTCCCCACTCTCTCAAGGCTGGACTGTTTGTTAAGCTATGTTTCAACACCCACATGTCCTCCAACTGGTTGTGGAGGGGGCAAGGAGAAAGAGATTTTTTAATTCTCTCACCTTTCCTGTCTGCAAATAACTATAATAAACAGCAAGCTAGAGCCCAGGGAAAACTGCTACCAGTTAAATGCTCTCGGGATACAGTTGATCACAGCTGCCAGTTCCAGTCTAGGATAATCTTTATTCCACTCTAAGGGAGTGTCATCTCTCCCACTGGACACGGGGAGCAAACACACACGTGGGGCCTCACGGCACACGAAGCTGATGCTGGACTGGGATCTTTGCCTACCACAAAATACTAAAAGTCCCAAGAGGAGCAGAGTTAGCAACAGCTCTACCATGGCATCAGCCAGTTTTAGTAACTTCAAAACCCACCTGGAGTCAAGGAATCGGAGTCACATCCCAAGCAAGGCGGCAGCCGGTGCACAATGAAGTCCTTCTTCATGTCAGACGACCTCAGTTCCCTGGTGTGGTCCAGGTGGTCTGCAAGCCTCCTCAAAAGGCTGCTCAGCTTTTTGGTGGGGTCAGCTGCATTCACCTGCTAAATATCCCCACGTGAATTCAAGCTGCACAGATCAGGCCTAAGCCAGTACAGAAATGCTGTAAAACTCTGGACACTCCTCTTTTATCTTTGCAAGGTTAACACTTAGTCCCAAAACAACCACCTTTGTTTGTTTTACACATTCCCCATGAAAGCTCACTTTCCCTTGCTCTGGGGCTACTGCAATGCTAAAGGACAAGCAAATGCAGTTGAAGAGACACTTGTTCCTCCTGGAGCTGATCAGCACGACAGGATCACCATAAAGAGGTCACACAACAATTTACATATCCACTAACTTCTAAAGACTGAAAAGCTTGGCCTCAGAGGAATTATGCCTGTCTGACAGATCCCAAGCAAATAGCATTACTTTTAGAAGGGAACAAGCCATACAAGGACACTGTGATAGGAAAGAAAAGCAGTGCAATGAATTAGGCAATGCTTGAGATGGAGCCAACCTCAGAAGAGTCATCCTGAAGACTTCAAAAGAAGTGGTTGGGCTGCTAGACAAGGCAGTGCCATTGCACTGAGCCTTCAGAGCAGATCAAGTGCTGAAGTTCCACCAGGGTGCCCCATTATTCCCTCAGTCCCACCTACCCACCATCAGCAGTTGCCTCGGGATGCTCGTCCGCAGCGCCACGTCATCTTTTGCTGTGTCAAACACCAGGCCAGGAACTGCATCCAGTAAGAAATCTCCCCAAGAGCTGATGGACAGGAAGAAACAAACAAAAAAAACAAAGTTCCTGAAACAGCTGCACTGAAATAAAACAGACATCACAACTGGTGTCATGGGCTGGAAACCCCGAGAATTCCAGATCTGCTCAGTGCCTTTGGCCCTTCCCTTACTGCTCTGTAGCCTCAGGCAAAGGCTTGTGCACATGTGTGTCCTCACCACCCTCAGGCCAGTGGCACTTCTACAGAGGGAAGGAACTGGCTTGAGAAGGGTCCAGTGTCTTCTGCTTCCAGGTGCTTGCCATTTATCAGTGACTGCAGCTCAAGTGGTTGATGAATTCCTCCTGGGGTCTTTATCATCCAGCCACAGGCACATACAGCCCCACTGCACACAGTGAAGTGTGTGGGGTTGGTTTTGTCACTTCATGTGCTTTTGAGACATTTCTATTGAAGGAGGGAACGTACCCAGGGTTATCAAATCCAACAGGGCATCAGTTTGCAGCTTGACTAGAAACTTAATTACGACCCCAAAACCAAGATGCCTGCAGGGATTTTAATGACACCTGACAGGCAGTTTGTAGGTGTCTTGTTTGCATTAAATCCCCATTCTTAGCCTACATACTTAACCAAAAACATTGGCTTTGATCCCTGTGCTTCTGTTCCCCACTTGTAACAATAAACCAGAGGAGGAGAGGGAGGATCCTACTCCTGCCTGCACCTTCTGTGCCCAGCTTGAGTCGACCTGGGCAGGAAGAGGCTCACGCCAAAGTGCTGCCCTGTCCATGGGTGACCTTCTTCCCTCCCACATCCTGAGGCTGATTTAATGGACAAACATCCAGGGCTGCCAGCAGAACTCCCACCCACCCAGGGCAGGCAGCAGGGCAGGGCCTGTCCTCCAACAGACACTTCACCCTCTGCTCTTGTTCTCCCTCAGCACTCCTGGCTGTCAGCTCTGATCTCTAGACACTACTTTAGTTTAGGAAAAAGAAAAAGTGCCACTTTTTGCAGTCTCGATATTTTTTTATCATCTCCACTCAAGTGTTCCACTGTCTGCTACACAGTGGGAGGGAAGAACTCTGGCCAGTGAAAGGAATTAGACATCTACTCCTCACTACTTCCCTTCTTTTGCCCCCAGAGTCTCCATCTGCCAGCAACTGTCTTCAGCTACTCACTGCTTTCCCAAACTGCCCTGCTTATCCCACATGTGCACACTTCTCTCCTGCTGGGATCTGGCCCAGACAAACCTGAAAATAACCTGAAAGTGCCACCTCCACCAGCACTTCCTCCACAGCTGCTTTCAAGGATTTCTCTTCAATTTGCCAGGGAAATGTTTCCAGATCATACTCCCATCTACAAGTCAGAACACCAGCCTGCACCAGGACTCCTGCTTGTTCTCCCTGCACTTGCTGACAGGAGGTGCAGAGGCAGGATGTCAGCACTTCATCACCAACAGCCTTAACGGGGGATGACTCCACTTTTTAACCTTGGAAGAAGAGCAGCTTTTCCTTTTCCTCTCCTGTTTTTTGGGGTTAGTTTTTTTTTACCTTCTGAATAAAAGAACACGTGTAAATTGAAATAATCTGAACCCAACTTTTCAGAAGACTGACACCTTGGAGCAGCTTCCTCTTAACCCTCTCTCCATGCTGGAGGAGTGGCCAGATGAAGAGTTACCAGCCCATCCTGGCTTCCAGAATGGCACAGCTGGTGGTTAGAGATTCATCTCACACTTATCTAGAATATGCCCAAACTTGTTCTGCCCTTCCTAATTCCTAACTCAGACCAGTGGCTCCAAACCCAGCATCTGGGAGGCTGATTAGGTTGGCAAGAACATTTCCCTGTGTGATAACAGTGTGGGCACAAGGACTGGGAGTGTGTCATAAGAAATCTGACTTGGCATACATGGGGTAGGAGATAAAAAAAACCCACAGATAAGCAGAAAATGTTTGCTTGCAAGGAAGAATTGGCAGCAAATCTGTCAGAAGATTAGTGCAGGTGACTATCAAATACAGGAGAAAACGTGATGAAAGGAGTAACTCATGACTCTTTATCTGAGCTATGAAATGAACAGTAACTTCAGCCACTGATGAGAGATTTTTTTAAATACAGAAGTGAGTTTGCAGTTGTAGCATTTTCCACATTAAAGCCTACAGCTGGTAAATAATAAAATAAGCAATTAAAAAGCAATCAAGCTTGCTGCTTCAAACAACAACAGTCTTCTTGCTCCCCTCCTTCCCCCAAGCCCCAGAACTTCACCACATCTCAGGTCTGTACTGCTCACACACATCACCTGGCAGAGGAAAGCCACACAAAACAAAAGATAAAGAAGAATTACTTGTTTTGGTAGGTACTGATGGTCACGTGTGTGGAATGGGAGGTCCCAAGAGGAGTGTCAGCTTGGTGGATGGTCCCTCTTGGGAAGTACAGTAAGTCACCTGGCTGCAAGAAAATTGATATATTCAGGGCACCAGGTCAAACCTTATTGCAGTCAGAGAAAATACTCTCTGAGCAGACAGTCTGACAATATATATCCTTTAGAATCACAAAATGGAGCAGTCCTGCAATGTACACTTTAATAACATAAAGAACACCAAGCCAGAAGTTCAGAACCTTAAACTTTCCAACCTGCTGTCAATATTTGCTGAAAACATGAAGCAAGGTTTTTAACATCACAGAACACACAGACTCCCACTGAGCTGCAGGAAGAGGACAAAGAAGCAGCTGAGATGGACCTGCTGGCAACACAGTGGGCTGGCAGAGGAGCAGTGAAATGGGGATTTGGTCAGATCACATCAAAAGAAAAGGCTAGTGTTCCAAGAGAAAAGCCAAATAGTCTATAAAAATGGTAATCTGTTACAATACTGTTGTCTGAGATTTTCAGTTAAAGCACTTAAAAAACAGGTACGACCTTCTTCCTCCTCCTCCCCATCTTTCTTCTCACCTATGTAAATTAAAACTCCACACTGAAAAAAAAACTAGATAAGGAAAGTCAAGACAAAAAAGGTGTAAAGCACATAAAATTGCCTCCAAGAAGGAAATAAAAGTTTACTTGTGGCTTGTCCTGTAAACACCTACAGAGTTGGACAGCACAGTCAAAGAAAACTGCCTTCCTTACCAGAGTGGGGACTACACCAACCAAGAGTATTCTGAATTCTCTTAATTTGAAAGATGGAGAAAGGAAATATTCTAGAAAGATGTTTAGGGAGGAAATAGAGTCAAACAACAGCATCCCTCTCAGAGGCAGCCACAAAGAGACAACCAAACTTTGACAGCAGCCACCCAGAAGAAATGGGTCACAGGAAGTGAACAACAGCAAACAGAAGAAAAATAAATTAAAAACTTGGATAACTTTTAAGCCCATCATTATTCCGTAAAAATGAAAGGCACTGAAGTCTGGTCCAAAATATTCCAGGAATGAAAAAGGGAACTGTAATTTACCAGACTTTGCATCTCCCAGTACACGATGACGATTGAATATTCCCCTCTGTCAAACAACACAGCTCATGATGTCAGCATCCCATCCAATGTGTCACACTGTTCCTAAAACACCTACACCATCCAACATGTCACACTATTCCTAAAACACCTACACCATCCAACATGTCACACTATTCCTCAAACACCGACACCCAAATGCAGCTCTGGACACTGAGAAGAGCAGAGAGAGGCTCCATAACAGGCCAAAAGGCAGAGAAACTCCTGAGGATTCCAGCATGGAGCAGCACCACCAGCTGGACAAGTAACACTTCAAAAGCAGGTCAAACAGAACAGGACAAGCACCAGATTCCCTGCTGACACTCAGTAATCTTCATGAAATGTTCCTTTCATTCCAAAAATCAACCACCAACCAAACACTTGAATTTCAGGTTTGGAAAAAGGAAGAGCAATTAATACAGCAAGTTTATATGGGGTTTGGGTCATGCTTTTCTTTATCAGCCAAGGATAAATATTTAAATCTCATTCACCAGAACAGTGACAATGTTCAGTGCAGCAGTAAGTCTCAGTGCACAGGAGGATTAGCCTGAGGGATTACAGGCAGCATGTAAAAGCATAAAAATGTTTTAGAACCATACACAAACCCAGTGTTTTTTCTGCACACAACTCCACAAACATGACCTAGGAGTCAGGGTGCCCAACCTGGAGAGTACTAGTCAATTTACAGAAATAACTGGGGGTTTTGGCCCATTATTTAAATACTAGAAGCAAAGGATACCTTTAAAAAAGGATACAGACAACTCTCACCCAAATTTCTCGTGCTCGCAGTGTGCAAACCCTCCCCTCATTAATTTTTAGATGGCTACAATTCAGAGAAATTTAAATTTGAACTATTTTTTTTTGTCTCTATTTAGAGACAACAGACAGAGGAGTTGTGAAGTGGGATCTGTTTTATCCTAAGGCAGGCATTTGGAAATCCCTGTTTCTCTCCAGTCACTTAAGTAAGTGCTAGAGAACTAACCCAAAAGGAACATCTGCCACACAAATAGCCAAAATTTCAGGTGAAAGAGGCTTATCCCCAACAGAGCATCAGAAACCTCTATAGGGTGCCCAATGGGGGTAGATGGCATGAGTTAGAAATGCTGGATGTGAGGCTGCTGAATAACAAGCATAAGGAAAATGAAACTCCAGGTGTATTGAATGGAAATGAAAATATTAAAAAGCAAAATAGACATATAAGGATTGGATTTTTTGATTTGATTTAAGTGGGATAGTCCAATTTTTTCTTTATAACGCAGTGTATATTCGTATGTTTCTTTTAGAAGCTGATTTAAAATGCATTTGGACCACAGGAATTCATCATATCAGAAACTTCTTAAAAACAGCAGGACCAACAAGCACAACCAGTCTGCTGTTACAGTCCAGCTGAAGAAAGAGCAAGTACTTAGTAAAGGAAAAAGGACTTGTAAATTCTTGGGGCCTGAATGAAGTGAAAATGAAAAAACAGGTGCTAGAAAGCTTCTGCAGCTGTGAAAACAAACTTCTCTTTTTATCTAAGGGAAATACCAGGTCTGGAAAACCCAGTTTACATGCTATTATGATTAGATATTACTATTAGTAAATTTTCAGCAAAATATGTAAGAAAAACGACTACAAGGAAACACAAATAAAAAAAACCACATTTTCCTGTAATGTTTAGTGGGGGGGAGGGTTAGAAGCACACACACAACAGCAAACACTGCCATCAGCAAAAGCCCATGCACAGTTTCCCAGGCAAGGTTGTGCTGTCCTACCTCAACATCATCATAGTGAGGAGGAAGGCCCTGGGATCCCTGGGCAGTGATGGAAACATTGGACCCCACCAGAGACCCAAAGTAGCACTCCAGCTTCTCCTGAAAGATCTTCCACAGCTCCTCCTGTAAAAAAAAAAGATGCTGTTACTTGCTGAAGAGCTCAGGCAAGCCCAGCCCACATCCTCCCCATGGCTTGGGAAGAATGATCACATCAGGGACACAGAGGCTGGGAAGGAAGGTGCTCTGTACCAGTGTTTCTCCTGAAGGAGAGCACTGGAGATGCAAAGGGGATCTGCCAGGAGAGTCACTGCTAAGCCAAAAAGTCTGGTGCCCCAACCTGGGTTTGTTCTCTTCCCTGTGCCATCTTTAGGCTGCACAACCAGACAGACAAGGCTGAACAGAGGAAAATAATCCCACAAACAGCAGAACACCATAAGACAAGAAGCACATGCAGGACCTGCATTCTCTCACCAGAGAGAACACACAGAGGTTAGAGACCTTTCACCAGTTACTCCAATCATTTGGGAATATTCAAAACCAAACTTGACTCATCCACACCCCACATGTGACAGACAAGGCACCGAAGGGAAACAGCAGAACGTGCCAAGTACCAGATCCACACAAGTGCAGCTTGGCCATTAAAGCTGACATCAGCCAGGAACACTATACCTGGGACTCAGCTTGTATTTGGGATCTTATTTGGGTCCACCTCACAATTAAATTGTGTTGACACCTTCAAGACTACCTGAACCAAAGCACCCCCAAGAATCCAAGTCCTTTACACAACTGTGCAGCACCACTGTCTCCTTCTCAAACTCAAGGACTGAGAACACTCAGCTAAAATGGGCTGGTACCTTTCCATGGTGCAATTCACTGGCAAGAACACTGGAAATATTTCACATGGTTTCACACCTTACCCTCCATTAAAGGGAAGTGGCTCAAAAGCCACAAAGTTTGCACAAGGAAACAGTGGGGCAGAAGGGATAATTTAAGCACAGATGCCTAATCATCAATTTTGTGCATTTGTTTTTTTTTTTCCAAACTTTTATGTGACAGAGCAAAATTTTAAAAAGAATATATTATTATACATATTATAGCATGAATCAGATTTTGTTCTTACTGCAGAGCAGTGAAACGTGATGGACAGTGCAAAAGTATAAACTGTGTTTTAATCCAGCTCATGTAAAGATTTCAGCAGGTCATCAATGTCAACCACTTCCCCTGGGGACAGAGATGAAGCCATGCCTAGTGCAACTCAAGCAAAACACACCACATTATTGAGCCAGCATCAATTATATCCAGTGAAACAATCCCACCTTAAATCTCTGAGGCTGATGAAACTGTATTGTTGCCTTTTTCTGGTCAAAATCCTTCCTCAGCTGCATGTAATTCACTTTACCTTCTTTATTTAAAACCTTCTTCTTTCCATTCACACACCTGCAGATATTCCCATCTCGCCCACAGTACAGGCCCTGGCTGCACAGCTCCTTCAAGTCTGACAGCTGGAACAGGGACAGGGAGTAAGCAGCCACCAGGGGATCATTGCTCTGCACGAGCAGTGGCCTTTGCTCCCAGTACTCCTTGAAAAACACCTCTTCTTTGATGGGGGAGATCAAGCTCCCGAAGAGGCTGTCTGGGTTCTCAAAACTCAGGGCTGAGGGAGAACAAGCTGCTTCCAGCTTTGCTCGTTTACACTGTGCCTGTGTTTCTTTTCCCATTTCAGCATGCTTCCCTCCTTCCTTGGGCATGGTTCCTGTTCAAGAGGAGAGAGGACCAAAACAATCAACCAGCAACACAACCTCAAGAGCTCACGGGCCCAGAGCAACAACTCTTCCCCTACCCAGTGGGATATCAGAGTATCCCGGGAACAGCTCTGGTTTCAGAGCCTCACTATTTGCTTCAAAGCATTAACAGTTTACAGAAGACAGGGAACATTGTTAGGCCTTCCTGTTGATGCTCTGTAATTACTACATTTACAAGTTTAAAACTTGTCAAATTTACCAGTTTAAAAGGCCAAGATTCTGCTTTCAGTCCTGTCGAGCTGTCAAACTTTGTTTATGTAGAACAAAAAGAATTCTTTCATACAAGCACAGACATTTCATTTTAAAGCTGGAAGTCATTTACTTGGTTTTTCCCAGGCAGAGAGTATGATTGTGTACCATTATGCAAAAATAAAGAAGTTGATCTACAAATGCTTTGGCTGCCAAATTCTCAGGAAAGTTAAGGGGAAAATCAAGTAACGGTAGGTAACTGTGCAAGTCTGGAAAGCCAACACCTGAGAAGTTTGAACGTGCTGATGCCATAATTTCTAAGTAAAAATGACAGCTCTACTCCCTACACCCATTTGATAGGAAATGCTATCAATTTGTTGAGATACTTTTATTTACACAGATCCCGTACTTTGAAACTTAAACTCCAGTTCTGGTATTTACATGCAGCACTAAGTTCTTCTGTGCAGCAGGACACCCTTGCTGGCCCACTAACTCCTGGGCAGTGTTTCATCAGCAGCTCCTGCACAGCCTGTCCCTCAGCAGTAACCGAGGGTCACCTCAGCCCTGCAGGAGGGAATTCACATCACCTCCTTCCTGAGAGAATGAACATTCCCAACTGCAGCACGAGGCAAGGGAATGCGTACAAAATTAAAGACTGAAAATCAGTCCCTGACTGACAGCAAGATCTGAAGATGCTGCTGAAGGCACCAAGATCTAAAGCTGACATCCCCAAATGACAGCAACACAAATGCAACCAAGCCTGGATTAATAGTTTTGAATTCAAATTCCAGACCTAAATCCATTGTACCAACCTCTCAGCTCATTCACACTGATTTAAAGAAGTTACATTCAGATATTTACTATTCATAGAGCGCAGCTTCATTTACAACACGGGCTGTTCTGTAGCGTTCTGCTGGTTATTACAGCTGTTCCAAGCCCCCTGCCATGGGCAGGGATACCTTCCACAAGATCTAGTTGCTCAAAACCCCATCCAACAGGATCCAACCAGGCCTTGAGCACTGCCAGGGATGGGGCATCCACAGCTTCTAGGGGCAACCTGAGCCAATGCCTCACCACCCTCCAGCAGAAAAAAATTCTCCCTTACATTTAGTCTAAACCTAAACCGTTCAGCTTAAACCCATTGCCCCTTGTCCTGCAGCTACAGGCCCTCATAAAAAGTCCCTCTCCATCCTTCTTGCACCACTTAAGTCCTGACAGGCTGCAAGGAGGTCTCCACAGAGACTTCTCCAGACTGAGCCATCCCAACTCTCCCAGCCTGTCTCCGCAGCTGCTCCATCCCTCTCATCATCTTCCTGGCCTTCCCTGGACTTGATCCAAGAGGTCTGTGCCCTTCTCACGCTGGGAGCTCCAGAGCTGGATGCAGCGCTCCAGGTGGAGAATCACCAGAGCGCGGCAGAGGGGCAGAACCCCCTCCCTCACCCACGGCCCGCTGAACGGGATGCAGGATACGCCCGGATTTCTGGGCTGGGAGCTCAGTGCCAGCTCAGCCCCAACTTCCCATCCACCAGCACCCCCAATTCCTTCCGTGCCGGGCTGGAGGACAAAGCCCAGCGCAGAACCCCACACGGGAGCAGCTGCTCCCCGCCAGGGCTGTTCCCTCCCACACCACGGCAGCTCCCTGGGAAGCGGCGGGAATAGCGCCGGGCACGGCGGGAATACCGCCGGGCACAGCGGGAATAGCGCCGGGCACAGCGGGAATAGCGCCGGGCACAGTGGGAATAGCGCCGGGCACAGCGGGAATAGCGCTGGCACAGCGGGAATACCAACGGGCACAGCGGGAATAGCGCCGGGCACAGCGGGAATAGCGCCGGGCACAGCGGGAATACAGCAGGAAATCCGGCGGCATTCCAGGGTCATTCCAGTGTGTATTCCAGTGGGAACGCAGCAGCACTAAGGTTAATCAATCTGCTTCATACAACGGTGCCTGGGCTTCAGCTGCGTTATTTATTTTTTTTTTCCTGGACCAAAAATCTTCTTCTAGAGTCTCCCTGAGTCTCCCTCAAAGAAAACTTTGGAATCCTCACCGAGCACGTGAAAACTTCCAGAAATATTTTTGGATGCCTGTTAATGGTTTGGTTTACGTTGGCTAATGATGTCAGAAACAAAAGAAAATGTTAGGTAGGCTTTGCTGAAGCTTTGTTCTTGTGTACTGGCTTGAAGGATACGAAGCAGAACTAGCAGAAATAAAAAAGGTGGATTTTGGAAACCTCAGCAGCCTTACAGTGCACGGCTGATGTTGGTACAAAGTGACACTGCCATAAGTGTAACTAGAAGGAGCTTTCAATGACAGGTAAGAGAGGGGACTGTGTCCTGTCAACAACTTAAGGAGGGAGAATAACAGAGCCTTGCACATCTCCAACACCAGTTCAAATCCTTCCCTTTACGGAAAGTGGGTTTCAGTCTTGTTCCTCCTCACAGTGTGGTTGTTACACAGTCAGAACTTCTGCTTCCCTGGCACCAGCTGGATCATTTGGAACAAATGTCCTGATTCCAGTGGGTTCTGCATTCATGGATGCATCCAGCAAATTCCTGTGTGCTGAGCAGAGGAAGTGGCAAAGTATAATATATAGAAAAGGGGGATGGAGGAGAGAAAAAGGCAAACGCTGCTCATACTGTTCAGTCCTTGTTCCTTTACCACCTGGACCGCTCTGTCGCCAGCTGACCAAAATATCCTGGTCACTTGAACATGAAATAAGGATTAATCAGCATGTGGCTGGGTTACCAGCAGAGAGATTTTGGCAGGGGTGAACCTACAGCTGTCCTAATTGTAGAAATGTGTACAAATTAGATAAAAAAATTTAAGTTTCTCTAGAAAGCTTTTTTTTCATAGGCCTGTGAGCTTCAAAGAAAAAGAAGACAATCTCCACTTTCTAATTCTGAGTTCATCACTACATCCCTCAACATCCAGGACATTTTGCAAAATTTATTAAACTTCAAATATTTTAATGTAAATGCTCATCAATAGTTGGGATATTCAAAGTGAAAAACAGGTCACTGTCATGAAATTCTCTTTATTTCTTTCATGAGAATTAGCAAGCTTTGAAGAAGGAAGTAGTTCTCCAGACTTAAAAGGTTGCATCACCTAAATTAACACTCACAGGATGGGCGTACCAGCAGATGCTAAAAATAGAGAGGCCACATCCTGCACCTCAGCCGGTCACAGACACCCTTAAAAAATGTTATTTCTGTTCCAAAAATCCACAAAGTACCTCGGCATAAGTGCCTGAACACCATCAGGGTGAATACTCAAACAAATACACATTTACATAATGGCTGTGGTGTTTTTAATTTGCTGTGGGACATAAACCCCACACATCTGAGCGGCTGCAAAACCAGTAGGAATGGGGAAATACTTTTGAGTACCTTTTTAAAGACTTCCGGGCTGATCTGGAGAGACAAATTGGCTAAAAGTATTTATTCCCATCCCAGTGGGGAAGGTAACACAGCTTCAGAGGAGGGTCGTGGGCGCTGTAACCAGCCCTCTAGCACCCCCTAGACGAGAAATAATGCGTTTAAATACCGTTTGTTATTTTTAACTGCTAATACAAGCAACAGCTTTTTGAAGTGTAATTGATCCCGGTATCATCCCTGTCACTGCCTTAAGAAAATAAAAATTATAACCTTTGCTGTAAAAATATCCAGTCAAGTTTCATCAGCATTTACAAGGGCCTGTAGTGACAGCACAAGGGGGAATGGCTTCAAACTGAGAGAGGGCAGGTTTAGATGGGATATTACGAAAAAAATTCTTCCCTGTGAGGGTGGTGAGGCACTGAAACAAGTTACCCCAAGAATTTATGGATGCCCTATCCCTGGAAGTGTTCAAGGCCACGTTGGATGGAGCTCTGAGCAACCTGGGATAGTGGAAGGTGGAAGGACTGCCAATTCCAGCACAGGGCTCCTGCAAGCACACAACTCTACCTCCACCCTGGAAAGAAAGCCCTTACCCTCCGTCTCTCATGTGCAGTTGGTGGGGCAGCCTGGGCACTCGGTGGGCAGCAAGAGCTTTCTGTGGTGGCACCTTTTGTCTGGCAGGAATCTTCAGTTGGATTCAATTTTCCAGGAGGTGGGACTGGCCATTGCAGAGCAGGGCAGAAAAAAGGGAACAGCAGCTCTTTTCCTAAGGAAAAGAAGTCTGGATCCTTTGGCTTTGAGGTGCAGTTGTTGGGGCAGCCTGGGCACTTCTTGGGCAGCAAGAGTTTTCCGTGGTGGCACCTTTTGTCTGGCAGGAATCTTCAGTTGGATTCAATTTTGGGGAGGTGGGACCGGCCATTGCAGCGCAGGGCTGAAAAAAGAGAGCAACAGCCCTTTTTCCCAGGAAAGCAAGCCTGTAACCTTTGGGTTTCAGGTGCAGTTGGTGGGTTTTACAGATTGGTCAGGGGCTGCAATGTGGTTCTTTAGATGATTACTTCGAAGGCGAGATTAAGGCACAAAACTCCAAATGTTAGGTCTCAAACAGACAATTTGCTTTCTTTGTAGCAATAAGTAATGGCAAAATCGAGGCGGGAGGGGAGAAGAAGAGGGAGAGATAAGGAAAAGGAAAGTACAAAAAGGTTAGCACCACCAGTGAGAGGTCCAGGTGTAGTCAGCCTCAGGCAGTCATGGAAGGACCGCTGGAGAGAAGCAGGGGGGAAACAGACTGGATGCAAGACAGACAGGAGACGGAGCAGGTGGGACATGAGCAGGACAGAGGCAAGCAGGATGGAGCGAGGAGTGGGGACCAGCAGGGGACCCTGGCCAACACTGACTGGACTCACCACCACGCTGGGCACTGCCTTAAATCCCCCCCTGTGGGCGCTCACTGGCCAGCCTGGCACCGGGCACACCTTTACACGATGTTGAATGGCTAAGCTGCTGGTATACAGGCAGGCTGGCTCTGCCAAGGCGGGAAAATGTACCAGCTTTCTGTTGGAGACTCTCCAGGGGTTCCCCAAGACTCCAGCAAGCAGTCTAAAATGTTTTCCTAGGCTGACGAAGACAGCCCTGCAAAGAGCTAAAGCCGGTGTCCGCAATTCTGTTCAGTCACTGGGCTCCGGGGGAGGTTCCTGGTAGCCTTTTCACTTGGAAAGTACATCACCTGATGGAAATACTTTCGTTAGTGTGAAGTGGTTAATTGCTGCTTGGGACACTTTAAAGGACTTGAAAGAAGCCTTGCACAAGGAGCTTAATTGCTCCAGTAACACCTATAGAGCCTCCATGGGACAGATAATTACCAGTTCCTTATTGCAGAGGTCAATATCAAAGCAAAGTAGAGAGTAAGAAATAAAAAATCTATTACAACCAACAACTGGTCCTAGCAGCCAAAGCTTCCAGGCTTTCTTTCCTGGGGGAAAGGGCTGCTGTTCCCTTCTTTCAGCCCTGAGCTGCAATGGTCGGTCCCACCTCCCCAAAACTGAACACAAATGAACATTCCTCCCAGACAAAAAGGTGCCACCACAGAAAGGTCTTGCTGCCCAAGAAGTGCCCAGGCTGCCACACAAACTGCACCTCAAAGCCAGAGGATGCAGACTTTTTTCCTGCTGTTCCCTTTTTTCAGCCCTGCACTGCAATTGCCAATCTAACTCCCAAAATTGAATCCAAATTAAGATTCCTGCCAGACAAAAGGTGCCACCACAGAAAGCTCTTGCTGCCCAAGAAGTGCCCAAGCTGCCCCACCAACTGTACCTCCAAGCCAAAGCTTCCAGGCTTTCTTTCCTTGGGGTAAGGCTGTTGTTTCTTTCTTTTCGGAACCCTGCACTCGACT